ATACAGAAAAAAGCGCAAACGGAAAAAAGCGCAAACAAAAACAGAAAAATGAGCAACCAGAAAAAACACAACGAAAAATGTGCAAAAGAGAAATTTAGCACACAGACCATATGGACTAGATGACACATTTATACATGACTGTTAGGGCTGCTGTGAGAGTGTCGTGTTTGATCACGTGATCTACTACCATTTGTTTGTGCTTTTTTCTGTGTGCGCTTTTTTCTGTTTGCGCTTTTTTCCGTTATATATATATATATATATATATATATATATATATATATATATATATATATATATATATATATATATATATAAGAGATGGTGAGAGAGATGCATATCAACACTGTTATCAACAGATATGACGACCAGGCCGGTGACCTTGACCTACACATCCCCAGACACGAGAACCGTGGAATCGTGTCGGAACTTGAAGAACTTTGTGGTTGACAGCCGGACACGGGACCTGTACTGCTACAGGGCACAGCTGTCCTCTGTGGTCTCTGTCGTCTTCAGCGGCGTGACCACTGTTTGCACGCTGCGGGTTAGCGGGGGTACGAGTTTTGTGTGTGGCTAGATTAAGTTAGTTGAGTTATGGGCAGTTAGCCAGGGTATGAGTATGGTGTATGGATAGATTTAATTGGTTAGGGTCATGGGTAGGTTAGCGGGTGTTTTAGTATGGTGTATGGCTAGATTTAATTGGTTAGGGTCATGGGTAGGTTAGCGGGTGTTTTAGTATGGTGTATGGCTAGATTTAATTGGTTAGGGTCATGGGTAGGTTAGCAGGGTAACGAGTATGGTGTATGGATAGATTTAATTGGTTAGGGTTATGGACAGGTTAGCAGGGGTATGAGTATGGTGTATGGCTAAATTTAACTAGTTAGGGTTTTGGTTGAGTTAGCGGGGATATAAGTATAGTTTATGGCTAGATTTATTTGGTTAGGGTTATGGGCAGGTTAGCGGGGGTATGAGTATGGTGTATGGCTAGATTTAATTGGTTAGCGTTATGGGCAGGTTAGCGGGTGTTTAAGTATGATGTATGGCTAGATTTAACTAGTTAGGGTTATGATTGAGTTAGCGGGGTATGAGTATGGTGCATGGCTAGATTTAACTAGTTAGGGTTATGGTTATAGAGATGGGTTATGTAAAACATGATATTCTTATTGGTTCCGTCTAGTTTTCTTAGATTAGAGAATTGAACATTTTAGCGACCTAAGATTATAATTATATCGATAAATAAATTAAATTTATATTCTTGCTATTGCAATTGATTTACAGAGTACATGTTTTATTCCAGTTATAAATTACATTAACAGTTACTTTTTACACTTGTTACCACTTTTAAATTAAAATTAAAATTTGAAACTGCAAATAAAAAGAATCATTTTCGCTAAATGTCTAAAAAAAAAAATTCTATTTAGGTCGGAACTTAGCATTGAGACAACCATCACTTCTCTCCAGCCACTTCAACAACGATACAAAATACAACGGCAGCAATGCTGTCGATGGAGAGCTAAATGCTAACTGCAAGAAATACGGGTGTGCGTTCAGTGAGATTAATGCCACTATGCCATCTTTAATCATCCGACTAGCCGTACCGGCGTTTATCTACAGATATGTTTTCTATACAGGGATATACACCCTAGGCAATCGTAAGTAGGCGCTATGGTTGTAAGCAAATAAAGATTAGAGCAGTTTTTCTTGCATAATTTTTTGTCGGGGGTTGGGGGGGGGGGGGGGGTACTTGAAATTTTCGGGTAGGGGAAGGGCTAAATTTTCCGGGGGTGGGGTGTTGGTCAGTGGTAAAATTATATACTTTCTATAAAAATTCCATTTCGTTTAAGGGGGGGGGGGGTGTTTGGAGGGGGTGGAAGCTGTTTTTCGAATAGAGATGCCTGGAAGAAACTCTTGATTAGAGAAACATATTCGGAATTAAAATGGGTTGTATTTCGAAGTGCTCAGATTGTATGGGTGACTACTAACTCGAAAGTCTTTGTTTGGGATAGGGGGGCCGTTGGACGTCCATGGAGTTACCCAGTTCTTGTCGGTACTTGCCACACGTTGAAGAAATCAAGGTGGCTGGGCATACTGCTGATCAAACCATCAGTTCATATTTGAAGTCACATATTTATTAAAATCGACTTTATCTTCTCCATAGACCGAACAGGAGTTAATTTACCTTTGTGCCATATCTTGGGCTACAATTAAGATATCAATAAAATATATAGGTATATATTTATATTAATTTTGGTTATATGAACTTAAAATAACAATTAATTTTTGTCATTTTGGACATGGAGACATAAAAGTTTATCAAAAATATTTTTTCCAAAACGTTTCCTGTCTGCCAGGAATGACATGTTAGCTTTAATTAATACTTATTTAATTACAATTAATTAGGTGACTACATCCAGGGTGAGGTCAGCTTTAAGTTAACAAATAGTCAACGTAATTCATCATTATTGTTTACCTTTTGTGTCAAATGTCCAAGGGAGCCGCCATAGAAAGCTCCCTCCACTATCGTTGGTCTCCAGCAATTTTCCTGGCAGTCCCCCACGACAGTTCTGCCACAACTAGCTGCTTCCTCACAGCGCGACTCCCTTGTCTTAACTGTTTTCTTTTTTCCTCGAGGCGCCCAGTGTAGAGCCCTCTCTGAGATTTCGTCTGGATTCATTCTTAAGACACGCCCACTTTTTTCTATTTCTTTCACTCTTAGTAGTAGTAGAAGTAGCATATATATATATATATATATATATATATATATATATATATATATATATATATATATATATATATACATATATATATATACATATATATATACATATATATATATATATATATATATATATATATATATATATATATATATATATATATATAATTTTAATGGCATTTATTATATTTTCTGTAAAACCATGTCACAGATGTATGAAAGAAGCACGGTTAACGAATTGTAAGATTGATTTGATCTTGATGAAAGATAGACTACGAAGTACAGCGTGTTTAGAGATGTCAATGGATATAAATTATGAAAAAAGTTAATTGAGATGCTTTGCTAATTTGTGTCCATTTTTTTTCGTTTAGATTTGTGGAGACAGCTAAATAAAATATAATTGTAATGTCCATTACCAAATTATCATCAGTAAATAAAAAAACTAGTACTATACTTGTTAAATTATTGTTTGACTGCACCATTATTAGTGGAATGAAAACACGGAAATTTGAACCATATTTCCTGGTCACAACCTAGTAAGTCAGTTCCTTTTAAAACTGATCTCGTTACATTATGTGCTCTTGTGGTAAGCACTATTCACAGTGGTGATCAACCGACCTGGATACGAACTCGAGACTGTCTGGTTAGCAGTCTGGCGCTCTATCACTAGGCCACGCCGCCCCACTGTTAAATCTTAGGCCCGGGTTAATATATTTCAATGATCACGGACTACTAAAATAGAAATTCCATCTTCTCTTGATCGGTTCTGAAAACAGGTAAAATGTATGCGGTTGACGTGTTATACCTATTGTTAACATTAGGTGGTGAAAGAAGAAAACTAAATGTGTCTCTTTTGTGTGTAACGTAAGCTCTCGTTAATTGAAACATTGTTAAGCCGAAAATGAATAACTCTTAGCTTGAACTAATTATTTACCTCTGATATACCATAGTTAGGGGACATACAACTCGAATTCTCCCATCTATTACATTTAGAAATATGATTGTTACCATGCTTATTATATAAAAATTTTCCCCAACAGAAAACAATAATGACAAAAACAATGCTTTTTCCGTGCAAATAAATGACATTTTTTGTTTTTAATCGCACTGAATATTTTGCAAATTTAAAATGATATATATTAATATACATACATAAACGCATATATATATATATATATATATATATATATATATATATATATATATATATATATATATATATATATATATATATATTCATATAGGCTATATTTGATAAGCTTTAATTATAATGTAGTTATTGACAATTTGTCAACACAATTATAGCTATTATAAGAAAACCATGTAAGGTAGAATAAATGTTGGAGTTGAGAATCGGATACACGTTAGTATTGTTTAGCGTGACATTAAATTTAGTTATAAAGAAATGTAATGTTTCTTCTTTAATGTAAACAAGAAAGCTATATTTTCTTACGACGATTGAGTGAATAATAACAATTATCCCCTTATGTCTTGCTAATTATTTTTCTTAGAATCGAGTAGCTAATAAATAATACATTGTGTGTAATATAAATACATAGTACCCTATTTGTAACAGTTACTGGCAAGGTCCTATCTTCTGTCTATCTCCATAAAAAAATAATTTGAGACCATTTTCTGCATGGCTATGAAATCCATTTTATTTGTTTTTATTTGAAATAACAATAAAGGCATATCTTAAAATTGATTAGTTTAGAATAAAGCTGACCTTTCAAGCTTGGAGGTCCATGGGTCGGCCTGATCAAGTAAAGTTTATGGTTTTTGTCACTTCAGCATATGAAGAGATAGTGTGGTCAGCACTGTGCCCAGCCGTCTTTACGTATCCCAACGGGAGTTAGTTACCCATCACAGATTGTTGGTGTTATTAATGTTGTCTGGGTAAGCAGACGTGTGCTCTACCAACACAATCTTACAAATTATAGTGAGAATAATAAAAAACTAACCAAATATTACAAAATATGTACATTTCCTTTAGAGCCAAAGTAGCTTACTCGTGTTTTATAAACGTTTCAAATAAAAAAAAAATTACTAGTCATATGTTTAACTTGACAATGAAATACAGCAAGTCTGATAAATATATATAATAAAGATATTCGTTGACGAGAAAAATAAGCGGGGCAAAAGAAATTTTAAAAACTCCTCCTGACAAGACAAACGCAAATATCATAACACTCACTCACAGAAATAGCAAGTCGCACAAAAAGACACAAAGACCCTTTATAACATATTACAAAAACAAGCTAACAGCTTAAACACTGGAAATAATGCTAACGGGAATAAAGGGCAGGATATAATAGGCGAAAAAAATCGAGAGACAGAGGGAATATTTTACAGAACTACTAAACAGACCAGCTACAGCCTAAGACATTGATATACCATCAAGCCAAACAGTACTAGACACTTAAACGTATCAAAAGTGCAGGCAGCTATACATAAACTGAAATCATGAAAGGCACCAGGTATGGATTGTATAAGTGCAGAAATGTCATAAGTAATACACTTATGACATTGTACCTTGTTTATTGTTACAATCATTATGTTTTTCATCAAGAGCTACAAACATTAATTAACAAACGATACTTTTCCTGACTTATATATAGTGGGCTCTTGTAAAGTACTTTAAAAATTAAAGATTAGAATGCCTTTGAAATCATGATCAAGTACACTGCCCAAGCTTCTTAAGCTCCCGGCGAAAGTTTAAGTCACATAGACTATAAACAACCGGGTTCGCGGCGCTGTTGAGCAAATACGATCTCAGAAACAGATGGTAAAGTGATAGGGACACAGCATCCATGGCGGCAAACGATTCCGGCGCAGCTGATTTGAAGCACTCCAACGCCAAAAAGGGGAGGAAACCAAGTATGTAGATGAGGCTAATCGTCAACAACATACAAGTCGTTCGCCCAAGATTTCGTCTGCTTCTTGTTTTCCGTCGCTTGGTTGAAATAGTTTTGTTTTTGTTGGACATAGTTAATGAGGAACTACCTAGTTTATTTGTGACTTGATAAGCGATTTCAAAAGAAACTAATTCCGTGTCACATTGGCTTAAAGATGTCGATAATTCATCCGCTGTCGATCTTGATCTCTCATCAAATTTACTCACATCTTTGTTATTTAATTTACATTTATGTTTAGAATCCTGAAATTTGCCATGTCGCTTCGCTTTGATGCCGATCATGATATACAAAACCACTAAAGGGGCGGAGGTTAGTAAAAACAAGAGGATGAAAAACGCGGAGTTGACCATGGGCCATATGGTCGTCACGAATCCTTCATCCACGGAGCAGAAAGTTCCGTGGATGCCGGAAATGGTCGTGTTCTTGATTTGTATTCCGTTAATCAGGGCGTACGGCACGGAGAACAGTGCTGCCATGGTAACCAGAAAACAACTGAAGATCTGGGCGTGGCGTAGCGTTACTTGTTTACCGAACGGTACACAAATCTTGCGATATCTGAATAGAAAGAAAAAATGTACACGCGTTTTTAGTACAGTAATCAGTAATGAGCGTGGTAATGTATACCGTTGTAGACCCATAGTATAGACCAGGGGTCGGCAACCTTTTGAAGCGGAAGAGCCAAAAGTTAAAATGTTCAAAATTTCCCTGGTTTTAAAGAGCCACTAACATTTTTTTTATTTCAAATATTTTATTTTTTTATTAAGATTATTAGTATTTGTTCAAGGAGCTGGAGAGCCGCATCTTGATATCAAAAGAGCCGCATGCGGCTCGCGAGCCGCAGGTTGCCGACCCCTGGTATAGACGCATATCATTACACAGTATTAAGCACATTTTATTTAAAACAATTATTGTATATTCTATTTAGAGGATATAGAAAAGAAAAACGAAATTCTTAAGAAGTGTATTTTGTCGGTAGGTTACGCAAAGATTGAAGAGTACTAGATGATTACATAACGGTATTTGTGTATGATGGTGTTGGCACTAATAGCACTAGTGAATTGTAGTTAAATATGTATCACACATAAGACGAACTCCTACTACTGAGAGTTGATGCAGGCATAGGGTGAGATACTAAGTCACCGAAACTGGTGACACAGTGAGTCACCACTATGGCTTTCGTTATATCTACTGACTACACTGCTTTAAACTTTCAGTCCATATCATGAGCAATTTTTTTTTAATGCAAATCTATACTGCTTTTCACGCAAATTTTAATTGTTATTTCAGGGGACATAACCTCCAAAATAGTATGTGTAGGTTGATACGGTGTGGTTTATAGAACCAGAGTTTCTACCCAAAAAAGTCTATCGCTCCCCCCCCCCCCGAACGAAATGGAATTTATGTAGAAAATATATACTTTTAAAAGTGTCCGCCCCCTCATAAATTTTTGTCCGCCACCCTCCCCCGAAATTTTCAAGTGCCCCCCCCCCCCCCACAGGAGAAAAAAAGTCTGGAAGAAACACTGTATAGAACACTGTAAGGGTCAAATTTCTATTTAAACCACCATTTTACTGAAGTATGACACGTAAATGTTAAATTATGAGTACTATTTTTTTTTAATTTCGAATTTCTGTACATCCTTATTTTACGATTACAACAAAATAAAAAAAAAGCATGTTTTTTTTTCGGATTTATTTTTGTTAAATTCAACTAGATGTGAATTATATCGCTAAAACTACATTCCCCCATGTAAGAGTTTCTATAAGAAATATGAATACATCTGAAGATTGTTTAAATTACTAGCCTACACTAGAGATACATGTAAAGCTATTGGCGTCTATCCCAGGACAGGATAAAGTCTGACCTAACCTAAACTCAACTATAATATATAGTACGAGCCGACCCGCGGCGTATCATACGCCGCTATTTAGTTGTTTTATTTTCTACTTTTCAGTAATTCATAATTAGTGAATTCGACAGTACCAATGCTGCCACTGAAAATATTTGCTTTAAATCACTAACCCCCCCCCCCTCCCCCAACCCCTACCCTACACCCCCTCCCCCCCCCCCCCCGTGAAAGCAGCCTCCTCTTAGTTACCTCCTGTAAGTTTAAAATCGTTTTAGACTAAATTATCTGCCCTTAATAGCCGTCAACAAACCCGACTCTACGATTTGTAAACATTTAGAGTGAACCACCGCTCACCAGATCATGTGGGGGTGGGGTGGGGGTGGTAGTGATAGTGATAGAGAGGAAGAGAGGGGACTGCAAGGCGCGCGCTTGCAGCTTGTTTTCTATCGGCTCCCAGAAGAGAATTATATATATAGATAATATATAATATATATAATATAACTATGATGGAGAAATTAAGAAATGTCAGCATCAATTTGTAATTTCATCTATCCTGAACTATAAGAAACGCCAGCCATACCCACCTTGTTATAGATATGGCCAACAGCAGCAGAGCAGAGGCCATGATGGCCGTGGCGTTGACGAAGAGTCTGGCCTGACATAGCAGACGATTGTTGAAGTCCCAGGCATGGAACATGTCATAGATCTCGCCTGCCGAGACGAAAAACAGTGAATATTTTTGTTTTTACTTTTTTAAATTTAAAAACGCATTAATAATAGTGCTGGTAAGTAGGTCAGCAACCAGTTCTATGGCTCATGCAGGTTTTATTGAGCCGTCGAGCTGGTAGGTTACCTACTTACCATCCTTATTAGGACCTTTCTTGGCTCATGCGGTTACTGGTTAAAATATATAATTATAAATAATATAAATATATAATTTTGTATGGATGCGAGGCATGGCACCTCAACGTAGATATTCAGTGAAGAATCCAGGTCCTGGAAATGGTATTTCTGAGCAGACTCAAAGGAAACTGACACTATTTTAGGCCTATTTGACAACTTCCCACCTCAACAAAATTAAGCCAAGGGAAACAACAATTACCACGGGATAGTTATATTGATAATATAGACTTATTGACCCAAAACAGATTACTATTAATTGTTAGTTCAAGAAAATTATAAAGAAATAAGTACTTTTTTAAAGTAAACATGTCTAATTTTATTTGTTAAGGACTGTTTTAAAATAACTAAGCTTTAGTTAATACTGTGAACATATTAACATTAAAATATTTTTATCTTATTAAGTAGCAATAAATACGAATATTAAAAATTCAAGAAATTTGATTCATTTACCATATGCTATTTATTTTCATAGCAGTCCTCCTACTATTTTTAGTTAAAAGAACACTGAATCCCCATTTAATCACACATTTGCGTTTTCAGATGTTAAAAAAAATTGCAATTAGACGTTATGTATTATGTATTGGTAAACCATCTTAGTGAAAGTACATATCAGAAAGAAGTATCTCTGTCGTAAATCTATACCAGTTCTCACAAGCAGATAATGAAAACTAATACTAAAGCGAACATGGCAAGGTAAACTGACGTTGTAAATTACAAGTCTAAGGCGAATTAAATAAAAATATGTTCATACTTTGAAACTATATATATAAACAAAATTATTTTTCCCTCTTTCAATGTTAAAAACAAAGAAAAAAAGAAAAGAAAAACATCTATAGAATGAAACTATGGAGAGAAGGTTCTTTTTGAAGTGTCTAATTTTACTCTACATATTATCCATGCTACTTAATATATTGTTTTTCTTTAATGCCAAATTTATTTCTGCTCCAGTTAAAAGCCCATACCTCTTTAACCCACCCAGCCGAAAAAAAATCATATACCCTTCTATTTCATTTTCACAATATAGAACATTGAATCGCTTTTTAATGTAAAATTTTAATTTTCAGGTTTAAAAATAAATACATAAGATGTTTTTTTTTATTATGAATGAATGTAATTCAATGTATTCAATAAATAAAAGCGCATGCCAGATTCTTTTTAGAATATTGGGAAGAAATTTACATTTGTGAAACAAATTATTGGGCTGTAAATACCATGTCCGAGGCAATTTTAATTAAAGAGAATCTAGTTGAAATGCAACTTACATTAACTACCAACTGCTCTTTGGGATGGTTTCTAGAAAGGGTTTTTCTTTTAAATTACAACTGAAGACAATATACGGATGAATCACTATTTTGAAGGTTTTTTTTATACTTGTTTTAAGTGCATACATCACTTTACGAAAGTTTTCATAGGTGTAATCAATAGAGATGCTTACCTGGAATGACCACAACATTGGTCAGCAGATCAGAACACGCCATCACCATTATAAACACTCCCACCTCCGTCCTTGAAAACTTTCGTAAATACACAAACAGCACAAGGGAATTCCCGCAAATTCCAATACAACTGAGCATTGCCAGGTATATCATGGAGGGTATCATTACATATATCGTCTGCTCCTGTAGTGTGGCCAGGTAGGCTTGGATAATTTCTGACGAATAATTTCCTGGCATGTTCGTATTTTTAAATGTTGTGGTCATTTTGCGAAAATTTGAAAGACAAACCGGTAAAAAAAAATTTCGCAAATATAACTGTAATTCGAAATAAAATACACAACGATGTATTCAGCGTCTTAATTATATATTTTCTTATTTTTATAATTTATCTCTTCAAAACACGTGCGCTCTCAAGTATATTGTTCTATTGACATCCGGCTATGTAAACAAACAATGAACAATCACTCCGGATGTTAAATCTTGTAACACTTGAAATTTTTACGATCAACAAATCTATTCTCACAACACAAAGTTACATGATATATATTCATCTTTATGTTTCTGACAACTTTTTACATACCGCAATCACTGAATACTATTTAAAACTTGTCTCTACTTGATTGATCAATATCAAGTACGAATTCGTTTAGCTTATTACAATTTAGAAACTAATTAAAAAATTCAATTGCACATTATTTCAGAAATTAAAGTTTAGTACACACATTTTATAAAATCCGTTTTTTATAACAACGGTAATGCGAAATGATGAAGATTTTAAGTAGAACCGTCCACTGTTGTAAAAAAAATATTTTTGCGTGTCAGGTCGCATGCACTATCTGTTTTTAGCGCAATTTCCATTCTGGAGAATTGCGTTTATTAACCCGTCATTTCTGGGAATGGATGGATGAATGAATGAATGAATGGATGGATGAATGTGTGTCCGCAGCTTTAAGTCGTATCTCCTCCTCAACGAAGCAATATCGATGACTAGTTCCAAAAGCAATTATGTTGAGCAAGTTACGAGGATGAACATAGGCCATAAAAATTCCGGGTTTCTTTCATGGATTTCCCGGAAAAGCCAAAAAACTTCGAAAAAATGCAGTTTTTTGCCCATATCTCGGCAACCAGACCACTTAGCGACTTGAAACATGTACTAATCGATTCCTGCCATAATTTAGAACAATATTGCCGAATAAAGTTTTCAAAAATATCCTTTCGTTCGGTCACAAAATTTTTTTTGAATTAATTAAAATTTGGACCGAAGTAGTAGGCATATTTATCCAACCACACCACACGCGTCATCACGTTCAATAGCTGCGCCATCACGTTCAATGGCTGCGTCATCACGTTCAGTAGGCGCGCAATGGTTTTTAGTCATGTAACTCTATTGTAAATAAAACATGTAAAATACTCTAAAAAAATTAATAAAAAACGTTTTAATAACTAACCAATGGTTTTACAAACCCTGCTCTTGATTTACGCTACGACAGAGCTATTTTTAGATAACATAAGGAAATTGCGCTAAAATGTCACTAGACTTTTTAATTAACTTGTTTTTTAAAACTTATTTAAAATAAATAATTCAGTGATAACACACTAGACAGTTTTTCTTGTTAAGAAATTTCACCAGATCGGCTTGTGAAAGTATTGCCGAACTAGTATAAATGGTAATGTGACAGTATCACGCATCATCGTATTTAAGTTTAAATGGATTATACAGAGTTGATTGTTACGGTGAATGTTGACTTTCACGAAAAAAATAAACAACCATGTTTTATGAAATACTTTTAATTAAGAAATTATAATGTTAAGTGACCGAAAGCAAGAAAAAAAATACGATTTAATAGGGTGTTTCCTGTCATCTCACTATTTTAAAGAACTGTTTTGATTGTACGGTTACACCGTATTATGTCAGAGTATGACCTATTGTACTTTCGGGAATGTTAAGTAGGACACTCGAAAACAACAGCGCATTTATTCATTATGTGTTAGCTCTAATTTTAATGAAAATAAAATGAACATTGACCATTCTATTGTTGTATTATTATAATTCAGTTGTTAACCACTTATGAAACCCTAATTTCAATTAAAATAAAATGAATAGTGATAATTATACTGTCGTATTATTTTAATTCAATTGTAAGCTATTAATAAAACCTTCGAATTTCAAAGAAAATAAAATGAACAACGAGCAGTCTTTTGTCTTATGATATAAACCGAATGTAGCTAATTATAATATTGCTCGTCAGTTAATAACAATTTCCTGACCTGCACTGTAGTCTAATTAATATACAGACGTTTTTAAAGGAAATACAAGTACATGGGTATTTTAAAACTAATTAATAATTTTATATTATGTCACAATAATAATGTTAATAAGCTTTTTTCTTTAAATCTACAAGTATAAAAGCACAATTCGCTATTGAAGTAATTACACATCGAATTCTAGAATATATTTAATAACAAAAGTAAAGTTAAAAGGATAAGGTACCAGCAATACTTGGGTCAGCTAGGTAGGTTTTGTAAGTCTCGGTCTCTCTCGTTTAAAATTCAAAATCTCATTAACCAGGAACAGATATAAACCTACATTTTAGAAGATAATTAATTGTTATGAATATGATTCCAACTGGAAGCTAATTGTTTCTAGGCCTCGCTTCAAGTTTTAAAATACCAAGAGTACATTTTTTACTAATAATAAGCCTTGGCTAATACAAATATTTATATTTATATTACTATTGTTACTGTTGTTAGGACTCCTTGTTACGGATTTAAATAAATATTAACAAACGGCAGGATTCATTAAAAAATCATAATTTAACGTAGGTTTCATTTTTCTTTAGCTTAGCCTACATCTTGTAGATTATCATTGTCATTGTTATTTTAAATAACTTATCAACAGCGGAAATAGCTTTTCTATGTATTTATTTTTTATTGAAGAACTATAATAACTTAGTTTTAAAGAAGAAAAATAAAGAGAAGTTATCATTGGGGGGAAAATATGCTTATGTCAGGAGAATTAATAATAAGAATTATTTGTATTTAGGTCTTTATTATAGAAAACGAAAGTAAGTCCATTTATTTTTTTAATATAAAAATTCATATTTGGTTAGAAAATAACTATCTGGCAAGTACGAGACGTTGGTGACCTACTTACAAGCCCTATTGAGCTATCTGTTAGTTTACAGAAGATTTCACACATGTAAGCCGACCATGATCGATACATTCACTTTTTAGATGTCGATCTATTTTAAGGCAAATACTTTTAGCGGTATGGATAGTTCTTCGTTTGAAACTAATGGTAAAAAATAACTTTGGTACTTATTTTGTTTAACACTACACATTTACAATACATAAATACTAAATAGTATTTTTTATCAAATTGTTTTCAAATTGTTGTTGGTACGAATATCGCGAATTACTAAACTAAAAAAAACCTTTATTAAATTATTGTTTATAAAAATATTGCTGGCTAGTGTAACTTTTTTGTGTGCTCCTTCTCTCAAACAATCTAGTATAGCCTACATGTTTTACCTGCGCCTACCTGTAAAATCGTTAGGACACCTTATATGTAGTGATTACCTGAAGGCAATAAATGTGTCCGTCCTCCCTATTCAAACCACTTCGCTAGGTAATACCTTTTTTTAACAAAGGCGTAAATAGTGAAAAAATGTTTAGGGAAATAATGTATTATTTAGTCTTCGTGAGAGCAAAGAAATTATTTCTACAAAAAAAGTATATCATGTTCAAACTGCAACTACAGAAAGGAGCTAGACAGTTGTTTAAAAGTATATTGTGTGCATTTATCTTTCATGTTTTTGTAGTTACCGATTCCTTTGTTGTGTAGTTTCAAAAAAAAAAATCAACGCATTAATTCGTATATATCTTTTACTTTAGCTTTTAAAATAAAATAGTCAGATAGTAATGGATTTTAGTCCACATGTTAATCTTAATTAGCAGCTTCACACCTAAACGTGAGCCAATTTTAATTAGCGGCTTTAAACATGCCTTACTTACTCCTCCTCATCCAAATGGGCGATATTTCCGCCAACCCTTTAATATCATCTCACCAAACGAGGTTATTCTATCAAGACTAGGAGTTGTCTGTTGTGTTCTACTCGAGTTTGAGTTATCCTATTCCAACATCTAATTTTCAGCTGCTCCTCTCTTGCAAGTAGTTACTCCAAGAGCAAAGTACTTGGGATATCTTTTCAGTTTTGTAGTAGTTCTAACAGTTCTATAATTCATAATGATCTACAATTATTGTCGTCTATGAAAGGTTAGTACATTTTAGAAACTCGAAGCATATAATACCCGGAAAAACGAAGAAACGCCTATGTTGTAAAACAGATTGTATGTGTAAGATAACGAACAAGTTTGCTTGCAGTCTATAGGCTGCTTTACATTCGTTCAATAGAATTACATAGCGCCCTACGACTACAGCTAAATTTGCTCAGCCATCGCTTTGTTTTCTATTACATTAATTTTTGTTTGAAATTCTAATTTGAGATTCTTATATTTTAAAACAATTATTAATGTGTTAAAAGCTTACGTTCAAACAGTAAATGGGAATAATAAGGTAGTATTGAATATTTGTATACTCTGTTTTGAATGCAATTTCATTTTAAAGAAAAAATAGATTTAAACAAACCTTTTTCATTTGTGACGTTTTCTTGAGTGTTTATGATAATAGACACAAGTACACGTGTACATAAATAGATCAAATGAATCGTGTTTTATTTCTTAGACATCGACAACAATGGCAACGTATTCGATCATCATGACGATGTGTACTAAGGGAAACTGTTTCAGATTTTTATTAGGTCTTGCTCTTATATCATGTGCATTGGTTTATAACTTTTACAGGTGAGTTTAAAAAACAACATAATACAGTTTACTTACAGGCTATTAAAATGTAGTTTAATCATGTGATCATGCACATACATTTGCTACTAGGTGGCTTGATCGAGTGTTAGAGAATGATTTATATGATAGTATTCATTCCACCTGCTGTAATAAGTACTTAAGTAAAATAATTAAACCAAGCTAAACATAGTAAAGCTTATTTACTCCCTTATTTTATCAGGGTTAAAAAAGAAACTCTACTTCATCTTTACAATGGCCATCATGACTCGCCGTTCTCCCACCCAACCATAAAACTACCAACAAATCCATCCCCTTACACACGCCAACACCTGTCTTAACCGACACACACTTCACGAACCTTTGAAAATTTATTATGTCGTAAAACAAGTGGTCTTTTATAACCCTGTTCCTAGGCACACAATAAAAACAATGAATGAAGTTTCAGTGTGCACTTACTAAACAGAGTTAAACCGCACGCTACACAGTACAGACTCAAGACAAAAAGAGGAATAGATAATTGTGTCATAATATTATGTTCATACACCATTGTGTCAAATTATTTTGTATACATTTAAGAGCGTACGTCTTGATAAGTAGATTTATAAATTTAAATCAAATTTGAATGAAATAGTTAATTTCTTTATATTCTAAAATTGGAAGATGACCCCATTAGTTTTGTTTTCTTTCCGTAGTTTACATGTGGCTTGTGGTATCATTGTTTAATGCATTCTTGTCACGATATTATACATTTAAAACATCCACCATATTATTTTTAACAAACGTCTGTATCTTTAAGTTCTCCATATATCGCTGAACATACTGATCACATCGCCTAAAAAATGTTGCATAGATAGAGAGAGAGCGACAGAGAGAGAGTGCAGTGCGCACATGGGTTTTATATATTAGGATTTTGAAATATTATTGTAATAAATCATCGTCTCGAGTAATTTAAGTCCACCCTTGTGTCACATTGCTTTATAATACCATTGTGTCATATTGCTTTAGAACACCAGTGTGTATATTGCTTTATAACACCATTGTGTCATATTGCTTTAGAACACCAGTGTGTATATTGCTTTATAACACCATTGTGTCATATAGCTTTAGAACACCATTGTGTCATATTGCTTCAGAACACCATTGTGTCATATTGCTTTAGAACACCATTGTGTCATATTGCTTTAGAACACCATTGTGTAACATTGCTTTAGAGACGCTATTATTAACAACAAATCGAATTTCTAAAACTAATCAAATTTTAATATATCTACTAACCAAATTTTAAAGAATATACTATATTTATCTTCATCAAACAGTAATACTATGGTGGGATACAAAACGACACAATTCAAGGATCCAAAATACAAACTGGAACATTCGCTTTTTCAAGGAACTTTTGACGTCCACTTTTCTCTGGCGACGGAAGAAGAATTCTGGGACGCTGGTCCGATAGATATCTATGAAGCTTTTGCTCAACATTCCTACAAGACTTTAGAGACGTGTAACAATACTTGTCACGTTATAGAGCCTGTGTGTAAAGCTAATAGTTCAAAAGATTTAATTAAATTAAATTTACAAGGTTTAATATATCAGAAACCGTTCCTCGCGAGAGGGCAGTATGTTTTTGAATGGGAGAAAAAATATTTGAGTCATCCCCCTTTGAACGATATTAAAACGCTGCCAGATTTGAAGTTGTCTAAAGTGACAGTTGAAAACACAAGACAAGGTGTGGTCAGGTGTAAGATACTTGAAACTATACACGGTCGTCTGGATGTCGTGGATGGGTACGGGCGTCAGAGAACCAAGGGAGACGATGTGGTCAGGGTGTGGATGAAGGGAGGTAATAACTCGGATTACGCTGTTGTTGGTAACGTCACAGATTTACAAAATGGCAGCTATACTTTCGCTGTCAAATGTTTGTGGAATGGGACGTCTTTGGTAATTCATTTCTAGATTTGTCAGGTCTATATCAACAACATTGATAACAATAACAATAACGATAACGATGACGATAACGATGACGAAAAGATATTATCTATTGGATATTTTTACTTAAATGTAACAAGTGACCAACGCTATTCTTTACAGTTATTTAAAAAGTAGTGTATTATTATATGTGGTTTTTTTTAAAATATATTCTTTTTTTCACTGTATTATTATATAAAAAGATAGTTATTAAAAACTTGTTTATGCATTTTTAAAAGATAATTTTAGTTCTTAACTCGTTAAAGAATAACTTGAATTGATCCTTTTCCTCATGCAAAAACTGTAATGTTCTCAGATAAAGGTAGCCATCTCCTACCCACGAGAGTTCATGCGAGTCGTTATCCATCAGATTCAGGTTGGGGTAGCCAGGTATATGTCAGGAACTTTCATCAAGGAAAATCTTAAAGAGGTATTTCACAACGTTTATGTGTTCAATTTTTTTGTTAACTTTAACGTCCAACTACATACGTTTCATAAAAGAAAAGGAATGATATTTAGGTAGGCCTACATTTTTGTTAACAGAAATGTCCACAAACTATAGCGTTAATGTGTGCTAATCGCGTAGTGTGCCCACTTAAAACAGGTCTTATTGTTCTTAACAGGATACAGTATGTTTCCATACCCCAAACAGACCAGGCTCGGAGTGTATCTGTAACTTCAGCAACTTTGGTTATGAGAATTATTACTGTGGTAGACCAAGACATCCGAAGTATAATTACTGATATTTTTAAATTATATATATGCATATATATATATATATATATATATATATATATATATATATATATATATATATATATATATATATATATATATATATATATATATATATATATAGATTGATTGAGAGAGAGAGGGAAAGATAGATATATATATAGAGAGAGATTAATATATAGGTGTATATGGGGTGTGTGTGTGTAAAGATGATTTTCAAAGAAATAAGAACATAAAGAAATGATTGTTTCCTAAAGATTGACCTGTGATGATTGGCTCTATGGCGACACTTTAAAGGAGGCGCCTGCACACGACGTAACAGCTGCTGAAAAGTATTTGCTTGCAACGATTCGAGGGTGAATAGACTTAGTTTATAGTATAAAAACCATATTTTACGTTTTATGAGTGTTAATCAAATGATATAAGCTTTTGATATATCCACACAGGCATTCAGACAAATGTATATACATTTATAAATATAAATATATTTATATACTTAAATATATATATATATATATATATATATATATATATAGATATATAGATATATAGATATATAGATATAAATATATATATATATATATATATATATATATATATATATATATATATATATATATATAATAGTTTCGCTGTCTGTGTATCTGTGTATCTATCTATGTATCTATCTATCTATGTATCTATCTGACAAGAACGCTCTAGAGAAAACACAAGCAAATTAAAAACGAAGTATGACGTCGTCACATTTAGCATAGAGTAGAAAATAATCTCAAGCCGGAGAGTGCACACATTAATATGACGTCATTGATTCTCGAGTAAACATTGAATAAAAAGGCAATTTTGTCTAATCTAAATGGTTTGCTGTGAAGAGTTTCTTGCATACAATTCTTCGGGTAGGGGCGAAGCCCCATCCCCGATTAAGAACGTCTGAGCCCCCCCCCCCCTCCCTAACTCAAAAGAAATTTCTTCATCGATACTCTATAATAAAATTACCGCCTAATTAATGTGTTTAATCTAAAAAGTGGTTTTCTTGCAATTTCTTTAATGCAATTCTTCGGGTAGTGGCTAAGCGCGACACCAGTGTTTCTTTCAGACTTTTTCCTCCCCAGAGAGGGGTGGGGGTACTTGAAATTTTCGGGGGCGGGTGTAGAATTTTTGGGGAGGGGGCGGACACTGTAAAAAGTATATAATTATATTTCGTTGAATGGGACGGTAGACATGTTTTGTTTTGGGGGTGGGGGTGGGGGGTGGTGTGTGGGGGGTGGTTTTAGTTTAGAGAAAAGAGACAGCACTATCAGCCTAGCGCCCGTTGTATCCTTCCTCAACGCGCCATTTTTCTCGTATATATATATATATATATATATATATATATATATATATATATATATATATATATATATATATATATATATATATATATGTTACCGAGTGTATTTACTCGCAACGCACAATGTTGCCGAGTCTATTTACTTGTGCTATCCTTGACCAGCACACAACATCAACCACAATACGGATACTCGGAAGTGCAGGTTTACATTTATCTCTTTATTAAATGAATCAATAGAAATGCTTCACATAGCAATGCATCAATGTTCCACAAGAATACAATGAACCAACTGACCCCCACTGTCCTCACTAGTTCTCACACATCGGAATACACGAGTCCATGGTTCGGGCTTCCAAACCTATTCTCACAAATCAAAACACGTCTCTACAGTTCAGTCTTCAACTTCTGTTCTCTATTGTCCCGTCTCCTTCTATCCTGCCCTCTCCTTCTATCGCTTCCCAAAATACGCAGTGGCTTCGTATTCGTTATCAGTCCACACCACCTGCATCCGTTGCATCAGCCCAGTTTGGCCTTGATCGTGTCTTAGTTGACATACTGTATTGCGTTCTTATCAATCGTCTTTAGTAACTACACTAGTTACATATATATATATATATATATATATATATGTATATATATATCTAACATATAAAGCTCAATTCTGTATGTATGTAATAAGTTTGTCGTTGACATACTTCGATGGATTTAAGTGTTAGATTATTATCGTGCTCATAGTCTACATTTATGAGTTAAAAATTACTATTGAAAGTGTTGGGAAAAAATTTTCATTTTTCAAACTGATAGTAATAACTGTCGGCATGTTCATTAAACACAATTTTTAAAAAATATAATCTTTTACAAAAACTCTAATTATGTCTGAAAATTATTTATATTTAGTCCTTTAGCACTTACTTCCCTTTGATAAATTAGGAAAACACAATTACTTCCCTTTATAAAACATTGCATATGTGGAAAAGAATTTACTTTTTATTACTTTGTTTTGGTGTTGGGAAAAACATAATTACATAATTAGCGGGGATTGATCAAGTGCAAATGTTGTAGGTAATTTACGGATAAGCTTGGAGTATTATAATTCTTTATTTGGTTTGGTTTGGCACCTACGTTCGTTTAAGTGAGTGCAAAAAACTATGAATAAGTTGGGGTACTAGAGTCGTTTATTAAGCTGAAACATGCGATTCTGCCCCGGGCTAGACTGTGAGCACTTTGCGTTTATGTTCGCGTTTGTGTTTTCTTTGTGTTTAGGTTGGGTTTGCGTTAGTTGTTGCGTTTTGATTTGGTTCGTTTTTGTTCTTTCTTTTTTCGTTTTCGTTTGTGTTTTTTTCTTTGGGTTTGTGTTTGTATTTGTGTTTGTGGTTGGTTTTGCGTTTGGATTTGGTTTGTTTTCGTTTTCTTTTTCGTTTGTTTTTTTGTTTTTGTTCGTATTGGTGTTTGTGGTTGTGGTTTGGTTTATTGTTAGGTTTTTGTTTTCGTTTGCTTTTTTGTTTGTTTTTTCTTTGTGTTTGTATTGGTGTTTGTGGTTGTGGTTGGGTTTGTTGTTAGATTTTTGTTTTTGTTTTCGTTTGTATTTGTAATTGTGTTGGCGTTATTTTTGCGTTTTGTTGTTTTGGTTTTGGTTGGTTGTGGTTTGGGTGGGTAATGCCGGGTTTAAAATGATTACTAACCACACATGTAATGGTCTTTAACAGAAAGGTTTTTCAAAGAAGCCAGAGCAGGGCCGGGACAGCTAGTATCTAATATATAAAGCTCAATTCTGCATGTTTGTAATAAGTTTGTCGTTGACATATTTAGATGGATTTAAGTGTTAGATTATTAAAATCCTTAAGGTCTAAATGTATGAGTTAAAAAATTAATATTGAAAGTTTTGGGAAATAATTTTCATTTATCAAACTGAAAGTAATAATTTTCGGCATGTTCATTAAACACAAGTTTTAAAAAATATAATCTTTTACAAAAATTCTAATTATGTCTCTATTTAGTCCTATAGCACTTACTTCCCTTTGATAAATTAGGAAAACACAATTACTTCCCTTTATAAAACCATTGCATATGTGGAAAAGAATTTACTTTTTATTACTTTGTTTTGGTGTTGGGAAAAAAAATAATTACATAATTAGCGAGGATTAATCAAGTGCAAACGTTGTATGTATTTTACGGATAAGCTTGGAGTATTATAACTGTTCATTAAATTGAAACAGGCGCGTTCGTTTAAGAGAGTGCAAAAGACTATAAATAAGTTGGGGTACTATAGTCGTTTATTAAGCTAAAACAGGCGATTCCGCCCCGGACTAGACTGTGAGCACTTTGCGTTTATGTTCGCGTTAGTGTTTTCTTTGTGTTTAGGTTGGGTTTGCGTTAGTGGTTCCGGTTTGATTTGGTACGTTTTTGTTCTTTCTTTTTTCGTTTTTGTTTGTTTTTTTCTTTGGGTTTGTATTTGTGTTTTTGGTTGATTTTGCGTTTGGATTTGGTTTGTTTTCGTTTGCTTTTTCGTTTTTTTTTGTGTTGGTATTGGTGTTTGTGTTTGTGGTTGGGTTTTTTTGTTAGGTTTTTGTTTTCGTTTGCTTTTTTGTTTGTTTTTTCTTTGTGTTTGTATTGGTGTTTGTGGTTGTGGTTGGGTTTGTTGTTAGGTTTTTGTTTTCGTTTGTATTTGTAATTGTGTTAGCGTTATGTTTGCGTTTTGTTGTTTTGGTTTTGGTTGGTTGTGGTTTGGGTGGGCAATGCCGGGTTTATGATGATTACTTAACACACAGGTAATGGTCTTTAACAGGAAGGTTTTTCACAGAAGCCAGAGCAGGGCCTGGCCGGGACGGCTAGTATATAAATATATATAAATATATATATATATATATATATATATATATATATATATATATATATATATATATATATATATATATATATATATATATATATATGTAAATTTATATATATATATATATGCCTATTTATAATAACAGGTTGCATGCTTTGATCTATATTTCTATTAATCCACATTTTCAGAACACCAGAGCAGCGATCAGTGAGTCATGGGATTAAAGTTCTAACTATAAGCACGGGTATTGTTTAAAAAAAAATTTTGTTATCATATGTATTGTTTTACCTACATTTCTAGATCTTTAGAAATTAAGTCCGTTAATACATTTACATTTGCTTAGACATGTTCCTTTTGTGTGAAGTTCTCGTCTCGACTGAAAAAAAAATACTGAAATGTAAATCTGTTTAAATGTTTCAAAATCATAGTTAATTTAACCTACCTTGATGATAAAATAAATTTCAGGTAAATTGCCTGAAATGAAACCTTGTCGTGAGTCAAATAAAAACGTCACCTGGGTCACAAATACAACCAAAGGCTTCTGGACTTTCGGAAATATCTGGAACTCTCTTATCTGTAAAGATCAAGGAGCGATCACACGTGACTTGACACGGAACTGTCTCCGGAACACTTCCGTCTGGATCTTCGGTGACTCTAACGGAAGACTTGCATATTTTAGTTTTACGGACATAGTGCAGTGTGTTAAAAAAGAGGGGGCATATCCGGATAGAGCAAGCTGTGTTATTCCAGAGTACAATATAAATATAACCTTACTCGCGCATGAACCACCGAAATACGTTTGGACCCGGAGAAGCGACAACTTCACAGGCGTCCCAGACTTTATCCAAACCTTGCCAAGAAACAAAAAACACGTTCTGATCATCCATTACTATCTCCACTACACCGCCGCCCATCTTAGTGTCTTATCCTTACGCATGAGAAAACTCAGGGATGCCATCGAGAAAATGCTGGAGACGAACCCGAATGTTCTAGTCGGTCTCAGAATCCCTCACGTGACATCTAAGTACTACAAAAATCATGCCGTGGGCGGGGACCCCCTGGGCCCCCAGTACATCGAGCTGATAAGGGAAAGGTTCAGAGGTCTAGAGGATAAAGTTGTGTTCTTGGATTTGTGGGAGATGTCCATTGGAATAGAAAATGTTGATTATCATCCACCACAGTATATCAATCGTGAAATGATCAAATTTCTACTATCATTTCAATGTTAATGTATCAAGTTTTGTTTATATATATATATATATATATATATATATATATATATATATATATATATATATATATATATATATATATATATATATATATATATATTATTTTTATTTTTTTTAATTTATTTATTTCAAACAGTAAAATGTGCTTATATTTTTTAACAATAAACAAACGTACATTGGCCCAATGTTTGGATGATAGTACACTACATGTACGGTTAAAAATCAAACAATGAATAGGCGTTGAAACATTCATTGATTATTTTTTTTTTTTAATTTTTAGCAGTTGACAATGTACAATATATAAAGCAGAATACACATATGCATGCCTTCAGGTAATCACAGATCACTTGCATCTCATCACTCCCCTACCCTTGACATATACCTCCACAACAGCGTACAAATCCAAAAGACACATGTATGTATCGCATTGAAACCACCCGCCCTAGTAAAAGGTTCTAAATGTAGGTGGTCGTGATTAGTCTTTTAAATCTGGTGTGATGTAATTTTTAAAATACTGTTATAAAAGAACTTTGATTTTTGACGGTCTTTGTACTTCAGATTATATTTATTTCATGTTTTTGAATGATTAGTAACTAAACAAAAATTTTAATAAACTTAAAAAAAATTGGTTGTTTGTATATTTTTCAGACATAAAATGACTACAATCATGTCTGAACTAGGCCATGTAGTTAAACTTTAAAAAAAAAAATAGTTTAATCTAAAATTGTATCAGTAAAGTTTGAGTGGAAATTACTGTGTGTTTTCTATGAAGATGGGTTTTCAGAATGTCGAACACCAGAGTGAAACTTCAGGATATAGCTCATGCTAGATATAAATATTATATTTAGAGATGTAGCATAAAGTTAAAATATTTTCTAAAGTTCTCTGGTTTTGACACTTTTATTAATTTTAAAATAATTTTAAACATTTTAAATGTTTGAATTATTTTAGGCTTAAGTTGTTTCTAAATTGTTTTTTTTTTCATGAAGGCTATAGGGCTTGTAAGTCTATTTGTTTCTCTTACTTAAAATTTGAAATCTTGCTAGGCAGGGTCGAGAGAATTCTCAAAATATCATTATCACTTTTTACGGTTTTAAATAACTTAACAATGGCGTTGGTAGCTTTTTTTACCGATTTAATAAACATATTCACAATACAACCCCTATAAGTGACTTGATACATCGAGGAGGGGGTAGATCGGGCTGTTGTTATGATACGGATTGACAGTGCTCAGTGGACTCACAAAGAGACCAATCGTTTTTAGTGATCCTTCCTCGGACTTCTATATAGAAACGTCTAAAATAGTGTCATCGAACAACAAACAAACCAGCGATGTGTCCACACTTATTCGACTTTATTTTTCAGTAGTTTAAAATATTGGGGTATGTAAACGTCTAAAAGTGATGAGTCACCTCCCAAAATGTTTTGTATGAGCATCAAGAATGATGTGTCATTTATAAAAATGCTAGTCTCGTGGATCAGCAAGTCATAAAATGAGTCACGATTTTAATAACAACAAGACTATAAGGGTTAATCGTTATAATCTTGTTTTGACAAGTAAAGCTAATTACAAGCTTCCGCTAATCATCTACTTAGGCTTAGCCTATATCTTACTCATAATGTGCGTTCTCATCCATACCACACTCTTCCCTTCTCTTCATTACGCACCTACACCCTCAAAATGTAAACAAAATATATCTAAACATACCAAACTTCATTGTTTTTCCTCGCTGAGTATGTTGATTCGCATCGAATCGAAACAAGTTTTAAGCATATTTAAACCAACTTAATTCGTTGTTTCATTTATCTCTAAACAAGTTTAGTACGTGGCTGTGATTATGTTTTCGCATTTAAACACCATGGAAACGAATTCAACTTTTAACTACTCCGATGAAGAAAAACAATCTGAATTAGAAGAATTGATCTATTTGAACACAGTAGCAATAATTCCCGTCGCTGTCTTCTGTTTAAGTTTATCGGTGATTGGAGTTGTCGGAAATTCCACTATCCTCTACGTCTATACACGCAAGTTCAAATCTCCATTGGGATTTTTCATTCAGGTTTTGGCCTGCTACGACCTGTTGTCGAATATTGTTTTGATTCCAGGTCAGTTTGTGGTTTCTTGTTTTCATACAGATACATTAGCAGTGGCGTAACCAGGATCGTCTCAAGGAGGGGGGGGGGTTCCAATTTTTACCCGGGGACAAACTTTCGAATTGCACCCCTCCCCCTCAAACTTTCGATTTGCACCCCCCCCCCCTCAAACTTTCGATTTGCACCCCCCTCACACTTTCGATTTGCACCCCCCTCACACTTTCGATTTGCACCCCCCTCACACTTTCGATTTGCACCCCCCTCACACTTTCGATTTGTACCCCCCTCAAACTTTTTTCCACCCCCCCTGTCTACGCCACTGTACATTAGGTGGCGTTTGAAAAAAATACGTATTAACTGAACATTGCAATGGAGTCAACCATCTATATAGCGTATAGCAACCTGACCCATAATACACATAATTGTGTTTAAGGGAGTAAGTTATAGATACCATAATTAAGAACGCCGAGAAAGAATAAGAGTAGTGACAATCTACTATATTGATAATAGCCTCTTAGCATACATATATTTTTTTTTTATTTCGTAGAATTTTTAGCAGGTTTACGAATGGATAAGGCATAAATATTAGATAACATTAAAAAGAAATTTAATGTAAATAGGGCACGCTATTAGAAAGATATAACTTAATATTACTAATTTAGCGCCGTAATGAAATCCAAAAGAAGAAAAGAAGACACTCATCATGCAGACAATGTAGAGTTCGCCTGATACTATAACCTCGGCTTATGAAGGGATAATTTTGTCAGCACAATGCCCAGCCAACATTGGTTTACTTATGTGAGCCAGGTACTCATTAGAGCTGGGTGGATGTCCCACAGACCGGTACTCTGACTCCTACTACAAGAATATCGGGTTATAAGTCATGCGCTTTACCGTCTTGGGTTCATTGTGCTGTTTATTTCACATTATCTGTTATCGATAAGTAGAGGTAAAACATATATCATATATTCAATTTGAACCTTTAAAAAAAATTCTCTTTCAAACCTGACGGTCTATAGGGCAAGTGAAGTAGAGTTCACTTGTTTCTGTGACCTCGGCATATGAAGAAATAGTGTGGTCAGCACTATGCCCAGCTGTCTTTGCTTTCCCTTACGTGAGTTAGGTACCCATCATAGTTGGGTAGACTCAGGACGGTCTACTGACTTCAACCCGGATTCGAAAGCGAGACTTACGGGTTAGCAGCTCTCTACCGCTAGACAACTCCGTCCCCACTTTACTCTTAAGTTATTTACCATCATGTTTAAAAAGGTAAAACTATTTCAGACAAAAATTTTTATTTTATTTAGTACATAAAATACAGTTAAGCCGTGGCTCTGTGAATTAGTTTTAGCAATCAAAAAATAGATTATAAAATTTGAAGTACGATTTGATAAAAATGTGTATCATATTATTTATACTGTTTTCAGCTGACCTGCACAATTTGTTTAACCAGTGGAACTTCTACATACCCATGCTGTGTAAGGCCCGTGTGTTTGTTTACTCATTCTCTATTATTGGCTCCTCCACCATGTTGCTTGCTATAGCAGTCACTAGGTAAGTGGGTCGAGACCTCTCACAAGGTGATTGTAAACACTTTTTGTATACGGTCATTAGGGGCTAAATCAATTATCGTAAGCGAGGTGATAGGATGTAATCACCCTTGAATATTTAGCCAGACAGATTGGAACATGGTTAAAATCCAATATTTATGTCGACCGTGTATCCAGCGTCTTCATTCAGAATTTTGATTGTGGACGTTTTTTTTCTACAATGCATAGGCCGTTTATTTAAATATCAGCCTGCTTTTCCCTTTTGGATTACAATCTATAGCCTTTGTCCATCCAATAACAAACTACAAGGCAGCAGTTGTTTAATTTTGGAGTTGTGTCTCCTAGTCAATATGCTGTCACTTAATTTAAGCTATCGAGCCTTATCTGCCGGGGGATTTGAACTCGGAACTTTTTGGTTTAGCAACAATGGGCTTTTGTTACTTTCCAAATGCCCCTGGTATGGAAGTGAGGGAGAGTTTAATAATAGGGACAGGCGAAATAAGTGTTTCAATTCAAATGTCCAAACTTTCACATAAGTAGGTAAACTCCGCATGCGGTACGGGCATTAAAGTTTGAAATCTTATGTTATATACTTCACTCTATATATAAAGAAATCTGTGTGTGTGTGTTTTTCCCACGTTTTCTTTAACTTGCTTTCGCGTCTGTTTGGTTCTCCAATCAAATCTTGCGATCGAAATTTCGGGCACTTCCCGGTTAGCTAGCGCGCTGAAATTTTCAGGGAAGCTTTGTTTCCGATGTCCATAGCATATCCAATTGTTATTATTACTAAATTGATCCATGGAAACATTTTATTGATCATTTTAGGCCGCTATATAATTGTACAAAAACGTGGGGAAAAGGGACATAACCCAGTAACTGTAATTTGATGAAAACAAGGTTCGGGACTCTCCCTCTTTTTGCTTACTGAGTAGTTGTCACGCAGTGTTTGTGTACAAACAACCAGAACGTAACAACTGGTGGCCAGTATGGGGGAACGATATGGTCGAGTGGTTGGGCACACGATTGCTATCCCACTCGGCGCGGGTTCAAATCTATGTGTTCTAGTCAGTAACGTATTCACACAACGTGTTTTTTACGAGTTGTCTTTTTACGAGACTTTAATGCTATACAACTTTTACGAGATTTTAATGCAAACAAACAGACAAAGACTAAAAAGTAGAAAATAATAATCATTAAAAAAGTTTTTAAAAACCCACGTTTTCTGATTGAACTAAAAAGTAGAAAATAAATGTTATACATCACAATAATGCAAGCGATCACTCTACTATAAGCGATCAAAAACGTGGGGCGCCGTGATTTTCTTACAGTTTCTAATACTGTTGACTCTCTACAAGCTCCCTAATAAAAGTCAATAGTATAAGAAACTGTAAGAAAATCACGGCGCCCCACGTTTTTGATCGCTTATAGTAGAGTGATCGCTTGCATTATTGTGATGTATAACATTTATTTTCTACTTTTTAGTTCAATCAGAAAACGTGGGTTTTTAAAAACTTTTTAATGATTATTATTTGTAATCTACACAGTATTAATCATACTCAGATTATTCTTAAATTATAAAACAACACAATGACACTGTGTTGCAGGTACAGAAAAGTGTGTCGCCCGTTCAGCGCACAAGTAACGGTAACCCATGCTAAAATTTCAAGTGTCGCCGTGATGGTTTTCTCCCTTGTCTCCGCCTTTCCCTACGGCGTGTTAAACGGCATCCAGACGAAGAAGACAAGACTGCCTGGTTACCATAGTTACAGCTGCGGCATGGACGACCGCTACCTGGGGACGAAGTGGGCCAAGCTTTACTCTGCGTACGCCTTGTTTCTTTACCTTATCGTCAGTACTTCAATGGTGACGTTGTACTGTCTTATAGGGCTAAAAGCTGGCCGTAGGAGAAAACTAAAATATGCCGACACGCCTTTTGAGATGTGTTGCAGTAGGGAAGGCCATAGCTCTAAAGATAAAGTGGATTATCTGGACTGTTTTCAAGCAACAATCGGAGTAGATGACAGCACACATGATTCAAAAACGAAATTAAATTTTAATGATATTAAAATTTTTACCAACCCTGTTTTTGAAGAAAGGAGGAATATCGGGTGTTCCGCAGTTGTCCAAATTCAGACATTGTCAAAAGCCGGAAAGTGTCGAAGTTTAGAAAACACTAGCGAGGCGTCTGAGAGTATGCTGAGACTTAATTTGTCGGACAAATTTTACTTTCCTACTTTGTCCTATTATAGGCGATGTCACAGTGCGTGTAATTTAAATTATCACACAGCGTCAATGTTAAAACAAAATTTATATTTGGGAAAAAAAGCTTCGATAATCGAAAACCTGCAAGAAAAGACCCAGGAATTGTATCTAGAACATGGTACTGTGAATATGTCTCACAGTTCTGACAATTTTGTAGAATCAAACAACCGAATAGCTAGCAACGATGGTAAAATTAATGTCTTTAAGATGGCAAACTTCAACAAATCTACACAATCGATGACAACTAATTTCTTTCCAAGCAATGACGGTGTCTCTTTTTCAAAATCCGCTGATCCAATACCTAGACAAAACAGAACAACCAAGATGCTTCTCTCCATCACCCTGGTCTACATCTTCACATACCTCTGTTTCCTCTTTCTTGAAGTCGTGCGCGAGGTCACTTCCGTTTCCGTCGTGACCTTTGGCGTGCCTGGGTTCTGCTTGTATAATTTATTCTACCGCGTGTTTCTCGTCAATACGGCTGTCAATCCCTTCATCTACAACTTTTATAACGCCAAGTTTAGAACGGAGTGCCGGAAGCTGTTTACCGGCTGCCGGTTAGGTCGGAAGTTATGAAAACTTCAGTCGATCATACGAAAGCATTCTCTTACTATAGCTTTTGCATAATAGCAATCAGTGTTTCTTTCAGACATCTTTTAGAAATATAACTTAAATATAAAAAATATATAGTTGTACAGGTGTTCATCCCCCACCCCAGTAATTTTAGACATTTTAGACCGCCCCCAAAAGTTTAGAAAGTCCCCCCCCCACCCCCGGATAAATAACTCTAAAAAACACCGATGGTTATGAATTTGGCTAATTATTATGCGTAAAATAATATGTTAAGTCTTATTAGTATATTAGACAAAAATAACAAAAATGTCTTAAAAATATAATATAGCCTACCAGTATTACACTAAATCAATAGTTTAACTAAAGAGATGCGGGTAAAATGACATTGTTATTGGCAATATGATATCTAGCTAAGCATTGGTTGTAAATATTGTATTCAATGAGATGTACTTAACAAATGAATATAGAAAATAGACACTAGTCACGAGAAAGTATTGAGCATTGAACTTCTGGAAAATTCTTTGTTTTCACATGCGTATTTTACCAAATTGTATTGTTTGAAACATGTGTGGTTGGATGGGTTGGTTGGTGATTCTTATTAAATGATGTGGTTGGATTGGTTGGTTGGACGGTAAAGAGTGTAAAAGTTGTGTATACTTGCTAAGTATCTGTAAATCATAACTGTTGTTCCAAAAAATGTACAAGAAATTTCAATTTTATAATACTGCTACTGCTTTAGCGATCCAAAGCTTATCATATATCGAGTACGTTCATGATTTTTAAATATGACCACTTTCCTATTTTAATAATTAGGGGTAATGTTTCTTTTAAAAAACTAGTTGCTCATGTCTCTAACATATGCACTCACATCTGTGTGTGTGTTAACGTGTGTGTGTGCTTGCGTGCGCGTGCGTGTGTGTGTGTGTGTGATTACGTGCGTGCGTGTGTATGTGTGTGTGTGATTTTTGTAAGTGTCAATCATTCATTCAAAGACGGTTGGACTAAGGGTGACTGGAACGCAGGTCTACTCGGAAAACACCTCGTGGGCCTCCAAGTAAAGAGCTCGATGGGTCTCCTGGAATGGTGGTATCCTACAATTATTGGTAATATTAAGGCTATGCATTAAAAAAAAAATTCGCTTGAATTTCGATCAAGTTGAGGATGATCATCAGTCTCTCATGTGGGGAAAAATACACTTTAGAGCCCCTTCTAAAATTTAACGTGTTTTTTGGATTCAGTCAGTCAACACCTTCGGCTAGACACAGTGTGGACCACACCATCCCTTCGGATGCCGAGGTCAATAAACAGAAAAGGAGGTTCGGATCTCGATTCATACGTGTGACTGTAGGTGTCCATACAGTGCCCACCATATCCATTTATATGCCGATGTCAAGAGACATATAAAAATCTACTTTATCTGCCCAACGGATCGCTTTAAATTAAATTTCATTTTTTAAAAATAGCTTAATACTGCAGCCTTCCATATGTGATGAAATTTAACAAAATAATAAACCAACTCTTCCTTAACTTTATATATAATACATGTATGATCTCTTATGGGCAATTAATTCAGCTGAGACCCAATAACTCATCAATATATGTATGTATAATGTGTTTGGGAACCTGAATAAAAATTCACCTAACGGTATCAAACATATATGTAAAATACATGGGTTTGAAATTTAAGCTTATAGTTAAAAACTTGACGCATTGTTTTTACACTGAATTAGGGCAGTACAATATTTGGATTGTCACGTCGGTTTGACAGCATAGCTTAACACTGCAATGATAGTGGACCCACTTGAAGATGGATTCAAGTACCACTTCTTTGCTTTGTTGAAACGATATCTGACGCCCTTACCCCACTTGAACGAAATATTTGGCATACATGATGTTTTCATTCATTCATCCAGAGATTGCAGTAATGTTTAGCCACACCACACACATACAAAAATACAGTATATATATATATATATATATATATATATATATATATATATATATATATATATATATAAATATATATGTGTGTGTGTGTGTGTGTTTGTGTGTCTGTATATATATATATATATATATATATATATATATATATATAGAGAGAGAGAGAGAGAGAGAGAGAGAGAGAGAGATTGAGAGAGAGAGAGACTAACACAACCACGCACTATACACACAACAAATTCAAACAATCACCACATACGCATAGACAACATACACAAACCCCAGTTTTACATACATACTCATACAGCCGCACACACAGTCGCGACAAAGAAGTAGACTCATGTCCACTAGAGTTAAGTGCCTCACAAACTACAAGCATTCAGTTTTAGGTCAGTCAACGGAACATGTCTACATCCTGCTGGAAAAAAAAAACTAGCCACTTATAAAAAACTAAGTTGGAAATTTCAACATTAAACTACTAAATCCGCATCCAAATAAAAACAAAGTATATCAGAATTGGTACAATTTTTTTGTTATATAAATTTGTTGAAATCAATTACAAATAAAAAGTCTTCTGAAAAAGGGTAAAACGTACCAAGTATTAGAAAACTAATATCGAAGATCACGCTTTAGTATTTCAACTTTTATTTCTTAAAACAAAACAACAAGGCTGTGAAAATGATAACAGATTGCAGAGAGTAAAGTTGTATAGTATGTTATGGGTTGGACGAGAGCAATCTTATGTCAGCTTCTAGTTGGACAGATTTCCCACTCAGGATAAAATTATATATTTGTTAACGCCATAAGACAAAACAACTATACTTATTAATACTTGCTCTAAGTTATCATCTACTAGAAGCACGTAATACTTGTATAAATCATTATCTACCAGAAAATGTGCATTAGATATGCGGACACAAATTGTCGATTAAATCACCGGTTGTCTAACTTGATCTTGGCTTCTCTTCACCACAAGCTACAAGAACTTCAATAGTTTCAGAAATTATTTTCTGTAGTTGTCGTCACACAGGTTGTAGATGACCGGCCAGCTATTGACATAAAGCAGAAGTCTCCAAACTTTTCAATCCGAGGGCCGCATTAACTATCCAATTTCAGTTCGGGGGCAAAGTTCCTCAGCCATCACCAACAAACGTTTTTTCCGTAGAAAAGATCTCCAGGGGCCGGATGAGAGGGCCTCGCGGACCGGATCCGGCCCGCGGGCCGTACTTTGGAGACCCCTGACATAAAGCATGACGTGCTCATCCTTGCTGCAAGCAACGAGTTACCAGAACTTGAGCAGTTTGAAACATTCCTTCCGGAAGTTGACGTCACACAGGTTGTAGATGACCGGATTGGCTGCTGTGTTGAGCAGGTATGACCTGAGCATGAACTCATACACCGACTCCAACTGTGGACTCATGTTAAAAAATAACTTGGGCGCCGCTAACTTACAGAACATAACTGATAGGAAGGGGAGGAAACTGGAGATGAACGCTATGGTGATGATGGCTAACATGATGGTGGTGCGGTTTGAACTTTTGATGGTGTTCGTGGACATTCGGGATTTCTGGTCTCTTCGGAATTTGTTTTGAATTCTACTAAATAAATTCGTTTTATTGTTTTGATTTTTCGATCTATTTTCTTTTTTCTTTAAATCTTCTTTGATTTTTGTTTTGGTCGATTTATTTTTATCCCGTGTCGCAGAGATTTCTAAGTCTACTTCTGATTTATTTGACGTTTTAAGGTGTGTTTTGTTGGCACCCAACACAGAGGGTTTGTCTGAGCTACTAGATTGCCTCTCGAGAATTTCTCTGTTACTGGCACCAATATCTCGACCACAAGACGACGTAAGAGACTTGAACATGTCTCTATCTACATCTTCAAGTTTACTTGCTTCATTTTCATCAATTAGCGATTTCTGAACACCTTCCGTTAATTTTGCAGAAGAACTTTTATCGGGAATTACTTTTAACTGAATGTCAGTACTTTGGCTTGAGATGTCAGTACTGACAGTTGTAGTACCAGAACATTTGCTGTCTGAATCTGTATAAACCTTACACTCCGAACTCTCCTTCGTGGAGTCTGATCCTTTCTCATTGGATTTAGCTGCGGTCCTCACAGAAGAGACTTTAAAAAACTTTCTCCTGCGTGCTTTGACTCCGATCAATACGTACAGAACAACTAGGGGCGTACAGATTAGAACAAACAACACGATAAACAAGTTGGCGTTAAGGTTAGGCCAGATGGTACGGACGTAGGCGTCGTCGGTCCGGCACTGCTTGCCGAAGATTCCAGGGGTAGGCGTTTTGACGGTTTGTACACCGTTGATGACAGCGTTGGGGGAGGAGAAGAAGATGGACACAAGGGCGATAACCACGCAGGTAACTTTGGCTGAGGTTACTGTTACTTGCTTGCCGAATGGTCTGCAGATTTTTCTGTACCTAAAGCACAAAGTTGCCAAGATTCAACATACAAAATATGATCTATTATTGAAATGATTGTATTCTTTGATATATATATATATATATATATATATATATATATATATATATATATATATATATAGTTACATATATATGTGTATATAAATACACACACACACACATATATATATATATATATATATATATATATATATATATATATATATATATATATGTTTATTTATTTAATTAAGTTAATTTATGTGTTTATATCTATATATCATGTATTTATAAGTATAGATATGGCTAGCTGCATAATATATATGTTAAACCTTTATAACATTCTTCACACCTTGTAACACAAATAGCCAGCAGTGCTAGTGACGATCCAATTGTGTTGAATGTGTACATGAAACGTTTTGCCCTGCAGATTGAAGGTCTGTCAAAGGTCCAGTATTCAAATAGGTCATAGATGTCAACTGGAATAACATTTAGTATTTGTTAACTTACATCAAATAGCTGGAGTTTTTATTTATGTTAGACAATAAACATTTTAGTACATCTTGAATAGCTAATTGTACTAGACTTAGGGGTCATCCTTAAATGACGTCACGCATTTTTGACAAATTTTACCTCCCCCCTCCTCTCCGTCACACGTCGTCACAAAAAGCCAGACACCCCCTCTAAAATGACGTCACACCTCAGCCTATGACCCCCCCCCCCCCTCAAAATTGCTCTTGAATGTTTCTTAAAACATCGATATTTTTCCAAAATCTTGTTAGAACTCTGTCAGCATATAGTATTTTGATCCATCCCTATTACAATTTATTAAAACAGTTTTCTTAAACGCGAAATAACGGCTAAAACTCGTCTTCTAACATTGCTTTTTAATAATGCAAAAAAGTGACGTCACACCATCTGAACCTCCCCCCTCCCCCCTCCCCCTCATCACACATCGTCACAAAATTACGGAACCCCACTCCCCCCTACGAGTGTGACGTCATTTATGGACGACCCCTTACGTGAAAATCATACATATATTGTAACTAGCGTGCCATATATAGGAATATTTAAAACGTAATTCGATTAACTACTTTGTGTAGAAAAATCATGACAACCTACCTTATTGAAAAAAAATATTTTTGATATCTTACTCGATTTGAATTAACCTGGTATAGTGACTAGATTTGTAATGAAGTCAAGTCATGGAAACAAATGGCCATAATAAACATTCTGGTCATTTACATTTCTTAACTCCCCTGTTATGGCAAATATATGTCTTATCAAATCAAGGAAGGACAATGCCAGTACTTATTCTTAATCACCAGGTGTAACAAAAAGACTTGTTATCAAGTCGCGGAGTCAGTATAAATATTCTTAGATAACCTGATATAACAAATAGATTTGATAACAAATCGATTTGTTATCACATCTAGGAAATACAGTGTCAGTATAAAAATTATCGTCATACTTATTTTAAGCTCACCTGGTATAACAAATAAATGTGTTATCAAGTATTGGAAAAAGATCTTCAGTATAAAAAAGTCTTAACTCACCTGGTATAACAAAGAGATTTGTTATCAAGTCAAGAAAAGACAGCGTCAGTATAACAATTCTCAACTCACCTGGTATAACAAAGAGATTTGTTATCAAGTCAAGAAACGACAGCGTGAGTATAAAAATCCTCGTGGGTTTTGACGTGAAACTCCTGGTGTAGACCAGCAGAACTAAGGAGTTCCCCACAGCTCCAACCACGGCTACAGCTGTGAGGAACACGATGGTGGGGGTCATGATGCGGAGGGAGTGTTGCCTTAGATGTTCCAGGTACCATCTTTTGTACTCCTCCGTGTAATTTGTCGTCGTGTTCAGCATAGAGATTGTGTCGTTAAACATGGGAGTTGTTGTCATTGTTCCCGTCATGTTAGGTGTGCGCTTCAAAAGATGTAGGAAATAATTAGAACTAATACAATGATAATAAAGGATTATAAAAATAAAATATAATAAAATGTTTTAAATATTGTTAGATTTTAAACGATGAAGAAAATAATTAGAACTAATCTACATGATTAAAGGGTTAGGAAAATAAAATATAATAAAATATTTAAAATATTATTGGCTTTTAAACAGTGAAAGAAAAAAATTAGAACTAAGTTTACTAAGGCAAATGATTACACGGATTGGAAAAATATAATAAAATACACGATTAAAATATTTTTTTAAACGACGGCATGGTTCAAACTTTAACAGGTATTTTAACTTCTAACAGCTACGTAAATAAAGAGTGAAGTGACTCCTCGTTGAAGAATAAAATATACAGCACTATCTTGCAGGTCGCGAAAACATTTTTATATAATTCTTTTTGTTATTGTCTATTCATTATTTTAAAAAAATAAATTATAAACGCTTCGTAAATGAAAATGTAACAAATTATATAAAACACATTGAAACAAAGCATTACTGTTTCAGGAGATTTAAAATCATTACCTACTTTAGATAAATTTATTTAAAAAAAAAATATAAGATAATCGAATTCTTACCTTTGTAAAAATCCGTTTGTAAAGCTATGTGTCTAAATAATTTAAAACAATGAATGCTTTGTTAAATCGACACCTGAATTAAAATAACAAATGAGGAAGTTAAATGAGTGTTTATGTAATAAAACGGTAGTTTCCAAATCCGGGAAGAACAATCAACACATCCCACATTGTTAACTGCCGGGTTGAAAGTGTCGAGTAGTTATCCTAACTGTCACTGGTGCATACTATACTTACATTTTTAGTGCATAGCTGCGTGTGTGTCTAATAAAAGAGGAAATAAGGGAAGCCAAACAAGCGTGGACAAGGGAGGGCACTTGACAGGAAAGCAGAAGCTGACTGGATAAATTTATAAAGTACTAATAATATTGCGCACCATTATGAACATCTTTATTCGGCGTTCGCTTGGTATGCAATACTTTTTTCTATGAGATTCTATTTTATTTTAAAAAGTTTCTGTATTTAAAATGGATTAAAAATCATAACTATATCCCGAGTTCCCATCCCCTGTTGTTTTATATAAGAATATTCGAGAAAGTTTAGGGGAGATCACTCCCGGTTTATTTTTCTTTAAATTTACCATGCACAGTTTGCATCAGCTTAAAGTAAGCCAACGGTTAGGGTTAGCTACGGAAAGTTAAAGCAGAGGTTAAACTGTTAATGAGAAAAATAATTTTAACTCACTCAACCGCTGCACCAGTAATTATTCAGCAGACAACCGTGTTGTTCGTTTAACCACCAGCCTTTTCTAGCCCCCCCCCCCCCCTTCCATTAACAACAATTGTTAAATGTAGGTCCGGTCGAATGAAGTGTCACCACTTCAACAACTAGCTCATCTCATCAGTCACCACTTGTTTTTCTCAATCACCGCATATGCGTGCATGCATAACACTAAATACTAAGGGGAGGTAACAATTTCTGCTTGATATTTTCATTGTCGTCTGTAAACAGTCGTCACGGATGGGGGGGGGGGGGGGTAGTGTGGAATTAACAAATTGTGAATTACTGATAAATAGAAAATTAAACAATTAAATAGAGGCGTATGCTACGCTGCGGGTCGGCTCGTACATTATATTGTAACACATACCATAGGTTACCAGTCAGGGGAGATAATTTACAATTTATTTGGTTGCGGCCCTTGTGGGACCTCAAATGTTGATGTATTTTTTATGCTCTTCTGTGGGCGATGTTCCGCGTGTTCTAGTGCGTGTGACGTCGGGGACTCAGGATAGTTTTACCTGTGTCCGCGGCTTTCAAAACTCCCATGTATTGTCTTCCGATAACGATGCTGGTTACCTGGGACAAAAATACATTTAGGAGATCAACCTCCAAAATATGTCTTGCAGATCATGTTTTGTTGCCGAAGGCTATATAACACAGAAAGAAAAACAATCAGATTTAGGAGTCAACGGGCCAAAAGATGCTTAAATGTTAACTAGTAGTTTTGTGTAGTAGAGATACCTTCCAATATTTCTCTTACAAAGTAAGAAGAAAAAACATCCTTGTGTTTAATTTAATAGTAGTAAGACGACGGAAAATATCTCAGTCAATTTAACATTGGTGTTGCGATGATTCTTGTTTGTCAAACAGCAGCAATGCCTAAAACTTTGAGGGCAAGTGAATTATCTGATTTATTTTGCAGATTCACATTCAGGAAAAACAAAACGGATGTATGAAAATGTGTATAGTATAGATAGAGCATAAGAGCTTTTGACTTTCAATCCACACCCATGTTTACTCATTTTAAAAACAGAGTTTATAAAATCGTCCTTCCTTTTTTGAAATCTCATTTCCTTTTAACAGAATTTTTTTTTACAAATCATCAATCTCTCTGTAAATGTCTTTTGCCGCGCCGAATCCCACTAATCTCTACCAGTCCGTTTTCTATTATCAAATCCCATCACCAGTGTAAAAAGTAAAGTTTCCTTTCTGAACTTGACGAACATTGGGGCATGTGAAGTAGAGTTAAACTGTTTCTGTGACCTCGGCATCTACAGGTATAGTGTGGTCAGCAGTGTGCCCAGCCACCTTTACTTTTTCTTACGTAAGTTAGGTACCCGTCAATTCTGATGGACTCGGGGTCGTACAAGTAACTTAAACCCGAATTCTAAATAAAGAAACATCAGTATACTGAAACATCAATTTGTTAAAGCTTAAATTAGTAAAACCATCAATTCGTTGCTAGTTATACATGTATTCTCAAACGACAAGGTAATCCCACGGCATATGTATTTCGGACCTGAGTTTAGATGGGAATAAAAAAGATTGTTCATGGTCCCAAGCCGAGAATTTTTTCTCGAATCCATAGACTCCCTCAACACATGTGGAGTATTGCCAGAAAATCCACCTTATTTGTCTTTATGATGATGGTGTCGCAGTGCGCTAGATTCACCAAATTTGGAATAATCATTACATCGTTCGTTATCTGTAGTTGACTGTAAATTTGAAAATGTAATCTAACATGGCACACCCGGTAGTAAACAATATTACTTCAAGCAACGATATACAAGAAAAATAAAAGCATCCACCCATCTATCCATCCATCTTTCCATCCGTCCATTCATTCATCCATATATCCATCTATCCATCGATCCATACATCCATCCGTCCATCTGTTCATTAGTCCATCCGTCCATCCATCCATCCATCTATCCATCCATCCATTCTTCCGTCCATCCGTCCGTCCGTCCGTCCATGTTTGCATGTTTGTATATTTATATATTTACTAGCGATCACTTCACGCGCGTTGCAATACTTCACGGGGATTACATCTAAGCGTAACGATCGTGTACTTCTAGACGCGTGACCTTAATTCTTTTTAAAACTGAGTTTCAATCTAGATAAAGCAATGCTCACATCATCATACATCGACAACATGATGTTGCCAAATGAATCATTACATTTTCTCAATAATTCATAAACTTAACCAGATGCATCTCGTTGAATTAGGCCAGATCAATAAGACAACATTGCGTTTAAAACGATGAATAATTTATTCGATCACTGCTGTATACCGAAATGTGTTGGCTATTAAAACGTAAATGTTGAGATAATTTTTATAAACACTTTAACTCAGTGCTAGAATGTTCTGGAACCAAACATTTCAGTAGTAATGACTTCAAGGAGTTGTTTGGGGATGTTTTGTTTTAAATGAGTTTTAGGTTTTGATCCGTATTCAAGTACTATCACAGACAACACCTCAATTACACGAAGAATTTATTGGAGTAGCCATAGAAAAAAATATATTTTATTAATTCAGAGGAATATTGGAAATTATGGCTTTAAAGCACCTACCATAATGTTACCGTTGATTATGGGTTATCTTATAGACGATTTTGATTGTGTTTTTTTTTTCATCGTATTTAGTGGAGCGCGTCATGGTTGCTAAACCGAAAAGTCTCGAGTTCGAACCCTCGGGCAGATAAAGCTCGTTAGTTGGGGACAGCCACTCTTCTAGGAGAGACAACTCCAAAATCAAACAACTGTTGCCTTGTAGTTTGTTCTTGGTTGGACAAAGGCTATGGAAGCAAATCCAAAAAGAAAAGCAGGCTGAAAAGAAAAACAGAGAATACTAGATAAAAATATTCTTTGATAAATCAGAAATACGACTTCCGGTCGTCGAAAAATATTCGAAATTTGATAGAAAGCACAGCATTAGATCTTTGAATTGCATGTGAAATTTCATTTATCTTTCAGAAACGATAATCAAGTTATAGGCTTTTGAGAAATTGAAAGTAGAATAAGCTCCACTTCCGTTTATCGGAAATCGTTGAAAAGTGATACAGAACTACAAATTTGATATAATGCTAAAATATGAAATTTCACCAACCTAGCTATAACGGTACTCAAGTTATCGTGTTCACGGACATACACAAACACACACATACATACTCACATGCATACACACAGACATACTGACAAAATAGCAAAAGTATGGTTTTTCCGACTCAAGGAGGTGTAAAACGTCCAGATTTTTGAAAGTCTCAATTTGCACAATTACAATGATTCCTCTATACTTGTGTTCGAGAAAGTAAAAATCGAAAATAATATTTATGCCACAATTTGAATTGTATGAAAATGCTTTTTTAAGCATTAAATCAACAAACAATTTAATGTGATGTCTCTATTGTTATCTGTAAGTAGCTTCGATGTACTTAAAAAGTGTAATTTTCAGTTTTATGTAAAAGTTTTTAAAAATGAAAAGACCTATTACATATATGTTTCTTATACTTTTATTCAGTAGTTTTGTTAAAAGGCAATTTTTTTTAACCATTACAAAACCTAAACATGGAATATAAATAAACCTAAACAGAGCCTCAAGTGGGAGCAGAACCCAGCAGCTCCTGGTTAAACAATTCAGGTTTCTCCATGTCAATCAAATCGTGTCTTTTGTGTGATCGTTTCTTGTGGCAGTTGAAGACGTCATACTTCAGGTCCAGTAGACCTCTGGTGAACATCAGGTGGGTCAAGCCGGACACGGTCAACAGGCAGAATGTTCCAGACAGCATGGAGAAGGTTCTAGAACACACATGTTCAAGTCTTAGTTCCATGGAGTGGCCAATACAATTTTACAGCTACAAAATTTTATACGTAAACTATGTTACCTAAAGGGAAATAACTGCGAGTCAGTGCTGTAGTCATACAATGGGAACTTAATTGCCGCTGGAATTTGTAGCACAGCGTCACCTGACAAGATCCGCAGTAGGAATGAGACGAGAAACCCGGCAAAGCTGCCATAGGTGTTGGCCCACGGCACCCACAGGACACACACCAGTTGTGGGAATAGCACCACGTACATCAGGTCACTGAAATATAGAAATCTAGGTTGAAATACACACACCAGTTGTGGGAATAGCACCACGTACATCAGGTCACTGAAATCTAGAAATCTAGGTTAAAATACACACACCAGTTGTGGGAATAGCACCACGTACATCAGGTCACTGAAATATAGAAATCTAGGTTAAAATACACACACCAGTTGTGGGAATAGCACCACGTACATCAGGTCACTGAAATATAGAAATCTAGGTTGAAATACACACACCAGTTGTGGGAATAGCACCACGTATATCAGGTCACTAAAATATAGAAATCTAGGTTAAAATACACACACCAGTTATGGGAATAGGACCACGCACATCAGGTCACTGAAATATAGAAATCTAGGTTAAAATACACACACCAGTTGTGGGAATAGCACCACGTACATCAGGTCACTGAAATATAGAAATCTAGGTTAAAATACACACACCAGTTATGGGAATAGCACCACGTACATCAGGTCACTGAAATATAGAAATCTAGGTTAAAATACACACACCAGTTGTGGGAATAGGACCACGCACATCAGGTCACTGAAATATAGAAATCTAGGTTAAAATACACACACCAGTTATGGGAATAGGACCACGCACATCAGGTCACTGAAATATAGAAATCTAGGTTAAAATACACACACCAGTTGTGGGAATAGCACCACGTACATCAGGTCACTGAAATATAGAAATCTAGGTTAAAATACACACACCAGTTATGGGAATAGCACCACGTACATCAGGTCACTGAAATATAGAAATCTAGGTTAAAATACACACACCAGTTGTGGGAATAGCACCACGTACATCAGGTCACTGAAATATAGAAATCTAGGTTAAAATACACACACCAGTTATGGGAATAGCACCACGTACATCAGGTCACTGAAATATAGAAATCTAGGTTAAAATACACACACCAGTTGTGGGAATAGCACCACGTACATCAGGTCACTGAAATATAGAAATCTAGGTTAAAATACACACACCAGTTATGGGAATAGGACCACGCACATCAGGTCACTGAAATATAGAAATCTAGGTTGAAATACACACACCAGTTGTGGGAATAGAACCACGTAATCAGATCAATGAAATATAGAAATCTAGGTTAAAATACACACACCAGTTATGGGAATAGGACCACGCCCATCAGGTCAATGAAATATAGACATCTAGGTTAAAATACACAAACCAGTATAGCACGCATACATTTAAATTAACGAAATATAAAGTGTATTGTTTCCCACCTGCAAAGAACAAAGAGCCCGTAGATCGTGGTAGCAAAAATGGCAATCAACGTCCCCAACACACCGAAAATGACGACACAAACACGCAGTACCCACAGTAGTTCTCGATCTGTCGCCTGTGTAAGATAAATATCAGATGGTATTGCACAAAGTGTTTTGATAACTAGGTTGCAAATTATACTTGGCAAAATGATGCAAAGACGCTTTCGTGTTTTGAAATCGGAGGCTATCAATATTTTTTTTTAAAATCGAACTTCAAGTACTTAGTGGATGATGATAATTGAGAGTTAGGTATGAAATATTTTTGAAATTGAAGTGACTTCCAATTTCATTTTTATACCTGAATTATTGAACGCCAAGGTATGTATATTTTAATTAAACAAAGTCACGTTACTAGATCGGAACTCGACACTTTTAAGTTTTAAATCCAACGCTCTAGCGCTGAACCACGCCACCCACGAAAATGAGGAGAGTTTTTAACATTGCAAGATGCCAGTTAACATCATTTAACATTATTAAGTGTTAATTGGAAGCGTATTGCTTCCACATAAACAAGTTTTACAGGAACAAAATAGAACAAAATCAATCGTGACTAGAAATTCACTATCATCCATAAAAGGTTTTCTATTCAAGTTAGAATACAATCGCTAAAATTGTGTCAAACCTTCGTCCGGAAGATTTCCTGGTAAATGTTTCTAGTGAACACCGTCGCTGCAGACAGGAAACTGGAATCTGCCGATGACATCACGGCCGCGCAGATGGCACTCATTCCGATAATTGAAACCGGAAGTGGCACAAGATAATTCAAGGTCATAGGCAGGATGTAACTTTTCCTGTCGTCTGGTATTGGTATCGGTCCGTCGTAGGAAGTTTGGTTCCAGTCTGGAAGGATTAAACAATTTTTTAAATTTTTTTTTACCGACAGTGTACCATAACATTCAGGATATAGGATGAAGATAGAAGTTATCTGTCCAATGAAAGCTCAACTGTTTTTACAGCAGCTAGAGAAATTTTCTACTATACGAAATTCAAAGCCGCCTTTACTTTTCCTCGTGTCCAATCAGACTGTGTTGGATCACGTGACATCTATATATATAATTCTCTTCTGCTAGACGTTAGAAAACAAGCTGCAAGCGCCTCCTTACAGTCCCCTCTCTTTCTCTCTATCACTATCACTACCACCCCCACCCCACCCCCACATGGTCTGGTGAGTTGTGGTCACGCTAAATTAAATGTTTACAAATCGTAGAGCCGGGTTTAGTGACGGCTATTAGGGGCAGATAATTTAGTTTGAAACGATTTTAAACTTACAGGAGGTAACTAAGAGGAGGCTGCTTTCACGGGGGGGGGGGGGGTATGTAGAGTCTAGGTTGGGGGAAAGGGGGGATTAGTGTTTTAAAGCAAATATTTTCAGTGGCAGCATTGGTACTGTCGAATTCACAAATTATGAATTACTGAAAAGTAGAAAATAAAACAACTAAATAGCGGCGTATGATACGCCGCGGGTCGGCTCGTACAGAATATTTGAGCACTTCAGCTGAAGTTGTGATTTAAGGTTTAGTAATAGAGCTGAAACATTTCGAATTATGTTGTTGGCCGTTAATGTCAGAGCGTGTATTGAATTTTTTTTTTTTAAATTGAGATTGTCTGATTTAAAACTCTATAAGCTAATATTGACATTTTTTTTTTCAAATTTCTTGAGTGCTCTCCCATAACTTTGGAGTTACGTGATCTTAGAACAATATTTATCTTTGCCGGCAAAAGAAATAAAAGTTTACAACAATTATTCACGAGATAAGAAGCATTTTTAGAGTTACCTTTTTCCGGTAAAATTAAACATACCCTACTTTTCATTAAAATTATTTCTTCAACCTTATATTAGATATAATATTTTTTTATTAAATAGGCCTACACGTTTCTTTTTAGTTAAGATGGCTCTATTAGAGATTTTAAAAAAAAAAACTTTATCAACGGATGAAATGTAAGTGATGTAATGTAAGTATATCACTATCATGTTTGAATGTGTGTTACCTGCGGCTGCCCCAGCATATCCCATCAATGCCGGTGGGACGGCCATGACAGAACTCATGACGGAGGCGCCGATAGTGGAATACACGGCCACCCTGACATTTTGGCTGGCCAGGATACGCTGGTAGAAGGCCTGGAGAAAGAACCACATTGCTCAAGCATGCAAGCATGGATGCACCTGGAGCATGAACATCTGAGCAACTCAGAGCACTCAATAGCAACACAGTAGACACACAAGCATTGGAACTATCTAGGTGTGTAACGTTTCACAGTCACTTGACTGATGTCTCGGGTAAACATGATATCATGTTAGTCAATGTATGTATGTATGTGTGTGTGTTTAGGTGTGTCTGTTTTTTAATCTAGTCATTTTTTGTAGTAATAAAGTATGCATAAAATTAAGTATTAAAAAAAAAAACATCGATGTCACCTATAGTAGCAGATGTTTTTCACATTATAAACAAAATATATTTACTGGAATAATTATGGTAAATAATGAAATTAATCCCCCGTCTTAACTTTATATCGTTGTATGTATATATATATATATATATATATATATATATATATATATATATATATATATATATATATATATTTATATTATATATATATATATATATATATATATATATATATATATATATATATATATATATATATATATATATATATATATATACACACAAACAGGTATACATCTAAGTAAGTAGTTCTTTTGTTCACGTATCTTACACTCATAGCCCACCTCAAAAAAGGTCCTTTGATCTGCACTATTAAATAAAACCTACTCAATCGTGTACTGACAAGTACATGCCATCTACTGACACGTACCTGTCATGTACTGACACCTACCTGTCATGTACCAACACGTACCTGCCATGTACTGACACCTACCTGTCATGTACCAACACGTACCGGTCACCTACATGTCATGTACTGACACCTACCTGTCATGTACTGACACCTACCTGTCATGTACTGACACCTACCTGCCATGTACTGACACCTACCTGTCATGTACTGACACCTACCTGTCATGTACTAACACGTACCGGTCACCTACCTGCCATGTACTGACACCCACCTGCTGCCATGTACTGACACCTACCGGTCACCTACCTGCCATGTGGTTCCACCAAAGATCAGCAACAAAAACGTATCCACATAGGCCATCTCTGTCCCCGCCCCCACCTCCCCCAGCCAGGTAGACGTTATATTCTCCAGGTGAACAAACTCACTCGTCATGGCGAAGGGGCAGGCGATCACCTGTGACAAACACCAAACTATAAAACCTTGAAATAAACCGTTAACCCGAAGATTACATAATTGTTAAAATGCGATCTGACATAAGCTGACAACTTTCGCAAAAGTTTAGATTTTATTTAGTGATAAATACATATCTGTTTACAGAATTTTGAATGTAGACATTTTATTTTAAGATACCTTAATTCAACATGTGACCATTTAGCAACATGTGTTTCTTCCAGACTTTTTTCTCTCGGGAGGGGGTGGGGGGTACTTGATATTTTCGGGGGGGGGGGGGGGCGGTCAACATTTTCCGTGTGGGGCGGACAGTGGTAAAGTATATGTTTCTATATAAATTTCATTTCGTTTAGGGGGGGGGGCGGTATACTTTCTTCGGGGGACTCAGCCCCCATCCCACCCCCATCCCAAAGAGATGATTGGAAGAAACTCTGTAAGCAACTCGAATCATTAGTTTAATTTTAACAAAACAACAAATTCCTGGTTTTTTGTAATAATGGGTATACTATGCTTTAGGATACTTTATCAATTTTTGTATTAAGAAACAAATATCTTAAATCAGAAAAAAATGTGTTTAAAATACTATTTTTATGACCCTATTAATTAAAAAGAATCATGTTGCCCCAATCTTACAAGCTCTCTAAGAAATGTTTTATATCCGTCAATATATTGTGTTTGGCATAATGGGAAAGCTGGATTTTTCGTGTGTTTTATAAGTGTATTTTCCATCTTCTTGGAAACACCCAAAGCTTACAATCCGCTTTACCAATTACACATGTATGATATTTTTGAGAACAACTTTTGTTACTTTTTGCTGTTTTTCTTATTTTTTAACACTAAAAGTCTATTTATCAAACAATGCCCAACATATTTTCAATTATAGTTCCTATGGAAAAAAAGCAAACTTTTTTTTCACGAGGGAATTGCAATGGCTTTCATAATAAAAAAAAATTGTATGCCAATTTACAAACTTTTGAATACTAAGAAGGCTCCAATTTTTCATACCTTCTAAAATTCTGACTAGTAACTTTAACAAAAATGTCGAGACACAATTTTCAATATATACTGAAATATAAGCTGTTTACATTTGATTACTATAAGGGCATAAAATAAAAAAAAAATGTGTTCGCGAATTTAAAGTACCAGAAAATTCAAACTAGTGGAGGTTTTTCAGGTTTCCATGACAACCAAAATTGTTTTCAACACTTTTTTTGGCTGTTTAATACATAATTTGATTTTCTAAACATGGAAAAAGTATTCAATCGCTTTAGATCTTAAATTGTAAAAATAGAAATAAACTTAGCAACAACTTAAATGACAATTGTGTGACGTCATTTACCAGACCGACCTCTTTTGACGACACAATGTATACTTCACTTACTAGACCTACGGCGACCAGCGCCATCTGTATGACGTCAGTGTAGGCCACAGCGTACAGACCACCGAGGAACGTGTAGACTATAGCGATCAACGCGGACACGATTACTGAGATCGTAGGATCGATGTCCACAATTATCGATACTGTCCCCCCTGAAACGGAAAAGATCCAAAGACCTTAAAAATAGTATACGGCAGTGTATAAATCTGTTTTTTAAGTATCGTAAATTATCAAACAGCTTACGTGTCATAAATATTCTGAATTAGAACAATGGCTAAAATGTTTGGGGGCTTAAATATTTGAACTACACAGAAAGTGCAGATCATTAAATAACAAAAAGCTAGAAACAGATGACCAAAAGACAAGCTATAGAACCCACAGTTGGCCAAAATTAATATTCTACAAATTGGTGGCAAACAAGGACATAATACAACAAAAATTTGTAAACACCAACTTTGAAACCACTAATATATATATATGTATTTTTAAATTCGCAGTGAATTATAAAATACGAGCCGACCCGCGGTGTATCATACGCAGCTATTTAGTTGTTTTTTTTCTACTTTTCAGTAATTCATAATTTGTGAAATTCGACAGTACCAATGCTGCCACTGAAAATATGTGCTTTAAAACACTAACCCCCCCCCCCCCCCCCCCCCGTGAAAGCAGCCTCCTCTTAGTTACCTCCTCTAATTTTCAAATCGTTTCAAACTAAATTATCTGCCCCTAATAGCCGTCACCAAACCCGGCTCTATGATTGTAAAATGTAAACATTTAGAGTGAACTACAGCTCATCAGACCATGTAGGGGTGGGGGAGGGGGGGGTAGCGATAGAGAGGAAGAGAGGGGACTGCAAGGCGCACTTGCAGCTTGTTTTCTAAAGGCTCCCAGAAGAGAATTATATATATAGATAAATGGTCAGAACTAATAAGATATTGCCATTATGTGGCCCAGAGGAGAACAAATAATGAAGTAAAATGGTTAGAGTTTACCTAAAGCAGCAAGGATTGAAGCCGACCAAAAGAGATCGCCCAGCATGTGAGGTATGATCAACAGCGCCCCCATCTTCCTGCCGTATTTCAACTGGAACGGGTCAAACATTGTGACGTAATTCTGTCTCCTCATTTTTGGTGCCACTAGCAGCCCACCTGTGTGTAGTTCAACTTTCAGGTGAAAATGTGCATGGTGCAAACACGTTTTGGTCTTAATGAGGTGATTAAATTATAATGTTTATTCCATTAATATTCTGTTTCAATATACGCATTAGCTTTGATTTAATTTACAACAAAATTTGTTTTGATTTTAGTATTTACATTTTTCTGTAATTATTTTTAGTTGTTTTTTTTTATTAATTTTAATAATTTTTTTTCTAGATAATATTTGGTTCATATACAATATCATCATTGACATGCAAAAATAAATCAATACTTTGTTCACTGAGACTCACATACAAAACAATAAAAGTGTTAACCATGCATGAGACGCACACATACATACAAACATAACACAATAAAACGGAAAACCATGCATGAGACGCACACACATACACACAGACAAACACACATACATACAAACACAACACAATAACACAGTAAACCTTGCATGAGACTTACACTCTCACCCCCCCCCTCACACACACACAACAATAAAACGGTAAAGCCACTGTTACTGACTCAAGAAAAGCCCAATACTGTATCCAAGCGGGGCCTGAGTCTGTAACAGCCCATAAAACGCTGTGTATTCGGCTGTTCCATTGATGTAACCTCCACATACGCTAGTTGCTAGGACCAAAATAAGAATTATTTTAACATGTTTACAAACATTTAAACTCTTATATATATATATATATATATATATATATATATATATATATATATATATATATATATATATATATATATATATATATATATATATATATATATATATAACAGTTTAAATAATCACAATTATACTTTTCCCCACATTTATTTCATTCAGTACAATGTCTGACCTGTCATGGTGAAGAACGACAACCAGAGCCCCATGCTACGATTGGCTATCATCACTTCCTCCGTGTCCTTTGCCTTGTTTGTCTTCCTGGCAGCGATGATGCCGATGATAAGGATGAGGATGTAGAGGATGATGACAGCAACCAGACACGGGATGTTGACGGACATGGCTGGTCTTGATGTGTGGGAATTTAACTGACGACTAAAGGAAAACAATCTTTCAAATGCTAAAGATAAATACGTATTTAAAGCAACATCTCTTAATATTTATTTTAGGAGCAATGTACATTTAAAGCTGGAATCTAAAACTGCCATTAATGATATTATTTTTAAAAAAAAGGAATTGTGTATAAAATCATCTAATCAGATATTTTTTTTTAATTTGAATTTTTTTCTCGGTCCATAATTTACATGTAATTAAAGCGTTAGAAAAATTAAATAATGCCATTTAAAAAAGCTTGTAAAAACCGGTATTAAATCCATTACAAATTACGAATGTGATACAAACGAAAACTCGAATGCTCTCAAATTTAATAAAAAAATAGTTAAGAAAACATAACTCTAAGGTAAAAAAATGATTATTAACCAACATGTGAGTTTTCTCCCTTGATTGACGTTGACTAACAGTCGTCTCCCCAAACTGTTTAAAAATTAAGTCTGTAGTGTCGTTAATTTTTGTGACGTTACTTACAGCAGAGTGCTAACATTTACTTACTATTATATTTTACTGCTAAATAAATTATATTGTGCATTACTCCTGCTGTTCGCCTATGACCAGTTTATGTAAAGAATATAGATCTATTGCTTGTCATGGATCAGCTTAAAAATTAAGTCTGTAGTGTCGTTAATTTTTGTGACGTTACTTACAGCAGAGTGCTAACATTTACTTACTATTATATTTTACTGCTAAATAAATTATATTGTGCATTACTCCTGCTGTTCGCCTATGACCAGTTTATGTATAGAATATAGATCTATTGCTTGTCATGGATCAGCTTAAAAATTAAGTCTGTAGTGTCGTTAATTTTTGTGACGTTACTTACAGCAGAGTGCTAACATTTACTTACTATTATATTTTACTGCTAAATAAATTATATTGTGCATTACTCCTGCTGTTCGCCTATGACCAGTTTATGTATAGAATATAGATCTATTGCTTGTCATGGATCAGCTTAAAAATTAAGTCTGTAGTGTCGTTAATTTTTGTGACGTTACTTACAGCAGAGTGCTAACATTTACTTACTATTATATTTTACTGCTAAATAAATTATATTGTGCATTACTCCTGCTGTTCGCCTATGACCAGTTTATGTATAGAATATAGATCTATTGCTTGTCATGGATCAGCTGTTACACTGCGCGGCTTTGTGCTTTGAGTCATCGTCGGACAGGTTTCCTTTTAAAAATGACAGTTTTCCGTTATAACGTGACATTTTTTTCATTTAAACGTGACAATTTTCCGGTTGAAAGTGACAGTTTTCCGTTTAAAAGTGACTTAAAAGTGATTGCTTGCATAATGACTTACAATACAAATAAAAACGATTTAAATTACTTAAGAAGTTCTAATTTCGATTTTAAAGAAGCATTCATAGTTGTTTGTAAAGAGTAAACTATAGTTGTTTGTATTATTATTTCTGTAATGGTTTGTTGAGTATTATTTACAGTGATTTGTTTTTTTTTTTTACTTTGGAAATAACTAGCTTATAAAATCCTGACATTTATTGACATGTAAATCGGCAATTTTTGTGTTGTATACACAACAGGTGAGATAAAATTTGGAGCCAACTGTGTTTAACTTCCTACAGGCAGGTGTAGTCGATTACCGAGAGTTGATTTAGTGTTGTTAATCCTATAAGCCAATCGCAGAAAATTCCAAATCTTCGATTTTTCAATCTTACCTTGACACTTAATACATTAACCTCAAGTGTGTAGACAGAAATAAAATGTACTTGACTTACTTAATCCAATGCAAACTGTGCTGACATAATAGACTTATCTACTCCAAGGTACAATCTGCTACACATCTTTGCGACCCACTTATGTCATCAAATCAATTTGTATAGCACTGTGTAAGATTCAGTGGAGTGTAACCACATCTATTGGTGGCTTTCGGATGTAAACTGTGGTAAGTGGATGGGGGATACAGAAAATGGAAACAAGAATAGTATGGCAAAATGTGCTGATGGCAAACAGAGGTTAGTGCATAAGCACTACATTACATTAAATTTTGTGTTTGTAATAAAATGCTTTCAACATAATCAACAGCAAGCCATTTCAATTAAAACTCTCCCAATTATCCGTAAAATAAACCGGGAGTGATCTCCCCTAAACTTTCTTGAATATTCTTATATAAAACAATAAGGAATGGGAACTCGGGCTATAGGGTGTTGCAGTAATACTTTGCTATATAACATGCTATTTGTCAAAAAAATTATATAAATTAATTGGCAAGCGCTAAAATTATGTTTTAGCTGTCAAAAATTAAAACAAAATATAAAGTATCGATTTTTACGCGTTTTGAATTTTTTAATTAAAGATAAACTATTGAAAATAATTTTTGAAATAATTAATAATATTAATTTATTAATCCATTCAAAGTTTTGGAAAAGCTTCCGCCAGGGAGAGATAAACTTTTTCAAATTAAATGAATTTTTGTGATCATGATTCCAATTGATAAAAAAAACATGGCGGCTGCTTGTTTCTTGACTTCGCTTCAACATTTTAAACTCATCATGAACTCCCAATATGCAACAAATATACAAAATTTCAAGTCTATTGTGTACGTACGGTTGGGAAGTAATGTATTTGCATTCAATTCTGACAGAAAAGTTTTGTGGCGGTAAGTAAATTAATTATTTTTTAAAGTTAATGTAAGACCTAGCAAGCCTAGCCCCAGGGGACATTACTCCTACTGGACGATTTGGTAAACAGAAAACAAACGCTTATCAAGTTCGACTTTACACTTTACTTCAGCATATTGCAACTAGATCTAGATATCTAATAGTAATTAGTAATAGATCTCAATCTACCTGATCCTAAATCTGTTCTTTATACTTCCTTAACTAGATCTATACTGATCCCTCTAAATAATAAACCGGGAGTGATCTCCCCTAAACTTTCTCAAATATTCTAATATAAAATTACGAGGGATGGCAACTCAGGACATAGACAATATTTGTTATCCATTTTAAGTACTTAAACTTTTTATAATAGAATAGAATCTCGTAAAAAAAAGAATTGCACACCCAGTGAAAAGTTTCCCTTTCAAACCTGACGGTCTATGGGGCAAGTGAAATAGAGTTCACTTGTTTCTGTGACCTCGGAATATGAAGAGATAGTGTGGTCAGCACTGTGCCCAGCCGCCTTTACTCACGGACGGTCTACTGACTTGAACCCGGATTCGAACTCGAGACTAACGGGTTAGCAGTCCAGCTCTCTACCGCTAGACCACTCCGTCCCACACCAAGTGAACGCCTAATAAAATGTGCATAAAAGTGCGGGATATTATTAGTTTTTTATAAATTTACATGCGTTTTTAAGAAATCGGAAATAGCGTAAATTAGTACTTCCGGTCAACGGAAATTACTCAAAATTTGACAGAAGATCTTTTACTTATGTGTGAAATTTCATTTATCTATCTGAAATAGTACTCAAGTTATAGGCTTTTGAAAAATTCAATGTAGAAAAAGTACCACTTCCGGTTATCGGAAATCGCTCAAAAGTTGATACAGATCTACGATTTTGATAAAATACTTATATATAAAATTTCATCAACCTAGCTGTAACGTTACTCAAGTTATCGTGTTCCGCGCAGCCTGGTTTCCTCGGACTCCCACAGCCATGTGGGCTGGAGTGGATGAACAGGGACTGGGAACGAAAGGGGTTTTTATGGCCCTACGGCAGATATTTCGACCTGAAGCTACGACCTCCTCGTGGTCGCGGAAGGGGACCCGGGTTAATACCCGGGGAGCTTGCGGTAGCTAGGGGTCTTTGATCTGTACCCCCGAGACCTACGGAAGGAGCCGCTGTAGGACTTTCGTAGGACGGGCTCCGAAGAGCCTGGTACGTCGGACTCCCAAGTCCCCTACATGATGGCGAGCCGGGAGATTTGTCCGCATTAGACGGGCGAATCTCTGTTGCTTGCTCTAAATAGCGTGGGGGAGGAGAGGTGCAAGACTGCCGGGAACCAAGAAGGGTTTTGCTCTCGACCCTAACCAGATGTCTTGACTTAAAGCTGCGGCCTTCACGTGGCTTCGGATGTGTGCCACTAGTCGGACCAAGCTCATGACCCCCCTAGTGGGTGCGGGACGGCTAGTGGTAGCCAACAGCAGCTAGAGGTTTTTGATCTGGCCGAGTAGAACTGCTGTATGCGTTCGGCTCTTCCGAAGAGCCTGGTACGTCGGACTCCCAAGTCCCTCACATAATAGCGTGGGGGAGGAGAGGTGCAAGACTGCCGGGAACCAAGAAAGGTTTTGCTCTCGACCCTAACCAGATGTCTTGACTTTAAGCGGAGGCCTTAACGGGTCTTCGGAATAATGCCACTGGTCCGACCAAACTCATGTCCCACTAGTGGGTGCGGAATGGTCAGTGGCAGATAACAGCAGCTAGAGGGTTTTGATCTGGCGAAATGCCCCCCACGATCAAGCTGGGTACCAGGCGGTAGGACGACGTCCCGCGTCTGGTGGGTGGGGAAGGAAAGCCCGGTAAGAACCCACACAGTAGCGACCGATGTGTGGGAAACTCTCTCGGGGTTTGCCACACTGAAGCCTGCCTGGCTAATGGAAGTGAACCTTCTGAGCCGGTTTCTGTATAAGAAAGAAATAAAGTTATCGTGTTTACACACGGGCAGACACACACACAGACAGACACACAGACATACTGACAGAATTGCAAAGCCCAGTTTTTCAGACTGGATTACGCTTAAAACCTCTTAATTTTAATAAATCTGGATTGATAATTTATGGCCGATTAAAATAAGTCCTCTATACTTCGGATGTGATGAAGGACTGAGGTGTAATCTATATATATAATTCTCTTCTTCGAGCCGTTAGAAAACAAGCTGCAACCTCGCCTTACAGTCCCCTCTCTTCCTCTATATCAATATCACAACCACCCCCACCCCGCCCCCACATTGTCTGGTGAGTTGTGTTCACTCTGCTTACATTTTACAATCACAGAGACGGGTTTGGTGACGGCTATTAGGGGCAGATAATTTAGTTAGAAACGATTTTAAACTTAGAGGTGGTAACTAAGAGGAGGCTGCTTTCACGTGGGGGGGGGGGGGGTAGTGTTTTTAAGCAAATATTTTCAATGGCAGCATTGGTACTGTCGAATTCACAAATTATAAATTACTGAAAAGTAGAAGAAAAAAAACAACTAAATAGCGGCGTATGATACGCAGCGGGTCGGCTCGTACGGTATAAAATTGTTAAAATTTCAAGTGCTTTTTGTGCACGATTACAATACTTTCTCTATACTTCGTATATACGAGAAAGTAAAAACATTGATTATTTAGAAATGGTATTTCTGTTTATAATCTATTATAATTCATGAGTTTGTAAGTACCGTAACAAAATGTGAGTCGATAATAAATGCTTTATACGTGGCGCTAGTTAGCTTTGACAAAACAAAACTAGTTGTTTGTTTATTAAACGGTTTCAACTTAATGATCCAAATTGAAATTGTTAATTTATTGAATCAATTCCCTTAATTTTGCGTATTTTAGGAATTCTCTATCAATAAATTGCAATATACTTGATCTAATTATTAGTAAATGTATCTATCAAATAATATAATAACCCACGCTTTTCCTTTGGTTTATTTAAATAGCAAGTCCTTTTCATATAGGCCTATTTAACAATGTCATTTATGTTCTCATTTTTAGTGCATTATTGCAAACAAACTTGTTATTAATCTGGATTGTTGATTTTTGTAGTAGTGGAACAGTTTTAAACACGTTTTACCTTACCAGGAAAATAGTGTTACGAGTCAGTTGTAGTTTAGATAGAAATAAGTTAGAATAATCTAGAATTAGGGGAGAGTGCGTGTGTGAATATTGTTAACCCCGGAATGTTTATGTGTTGCTATCCCAAGGTCGAACTGACCCGTAACAAATAGCTATGTTAAGAGTGGCAACATATTTTTTTAAATAGTGTTTTTAGATATACCTGTATTCATTTTTGCATAAATAAAACTAACTTTTCCACTAAACATGATTTTAATATTATTTTCTAAGGTCAGTCACAATTTTTACAAGCATGTTAAAAAAAATGTGCACATATTGTTTGTTAAACAATACTCTCATCATATTTTTAAACACCATTTTATTAAGTGTTTGTTTTCAGGTCTAAAGGCTTATGTGTCTGTCTGTCTGTTTGTCGTTCTGTATGTCTGTCGGCCTGAATGTCTGTTGGTATGTATATCTGTCAGTCTGTATGTCTGTAGGCATGTATGTCTGTCAGTCTGTATGTCTGTCAGTCTGTATGCCTGTAGGCATGTATGTCTGTCAGTCTGTATGTCTGTCAGTCTGTATGTCTGTCAGTCTGTATGTCTGTAGGCATGTATGTCTCTCAGTCTGTATGTCTGTCAGCGATGCAGGCACTACGGGGTTTCATCATTGTATCTTTACCATTTGATGACGAAGTCTCCTTTATGTTGGCACGGGTTTTTATTACTTTAAAACCTGCTATAAGTTTCCGGGGACTCATACCTGTAATAATCGAAGAATTCGTTGTTGGCACATTTCGAGAATTCGCATATGTAACAAAGACATTATTTAAAGCCTGGAGCACGGGTTCTCAACATATGTGCCGCGACCCCATCTGAATGGTCGCAAACTTCTACAGTCAACTAACCGAAACGGCTTTACTAAAATGACAAGCAATGAACTAGAAATTATAAAATTTATAGTTTGGAAAGTTGTCATGAGTCTGTAAAACCTTTAAAACTCAAACTTCACTAAAAGACGTCTGGAGTTTTTTCGACAGCTCGAAACTAGTGGCAAAAGTCAAGGTGTTGGTCGAAGTGTTTTT